CAGCTAATTATTGTGTTTTCAGTAGAGAGGGGGTTTCACCATGTTGGCCAGGCTGGTCTCAAACTCCTGACCTCAAGTGATCCGCCCGCCTCAGCCTCCCAAAGTGCTTGGATTACAGGCTTGAACCACTGGACCTGGCCTGGAGTTACTATTTAATAGATGGTTGTACAACACTGTGAATGTACTTAATGCCATTGAATTGCACACTTAAAATAATTAAGATAGTACATTTTGTTATATATGTTTCACCACAATAAATTCTCTCTCTATATATATACACCATGGGGCTCTACGTTTGCCACTTGAGTGATGAGCTTACTAGAAGCCCAAATCTTAGCATCACACAACATGCCCTTGTAACCTACACATGTAACCCCCTAAATCTAAAATACAATAATTTTTTTTTTTTGAGACGGAGTCTCGCTCTGTCGCCCAGGCTGGAGTGCAGTGGCCGGATCTCAGCTCACTGCAAGCTCCGCCTCCTGGGTTTACACCATTCTCCTGCCTCAGCCTCCCAAGTAGCTGGGACTACAGGTGCCCGCCAACACACCCGGCTAGTTTTTTTGTATTTTTTAGTAGAGACGGGGTTTCACCGTGTTAGCCAGGATGGTCTCGATTTCTTGATCTCGTGATCCGCCCGTCTCGGCCTCCCAAAGTGCTGGGATTACAGGCTTGAGCCACCATGCCCAGCCCAATAATTTTTTTAAATACATAAAATTACCTTCAGGCCAGGCACAGATGATGTCTGTAATCCCAGCACTTTGGGAGGCTGAAGCAGGTGGCTTATCTGAGGTCAGGAGTTCGAGACCAGCCTGGCCAACATGGTAAAACCCCGTCTCTACTAAGAGTACAAAAATTAGCTGGGTGTGGTGGCGGGCTAATCTCAGCTACTCAGGAGGCTGAGGCAGGAGAATTGCTTGAACATGGGAGGCGGAGGTTGCAGTGAGCCAAGATCGCACCACTGCACGCCAGCCTGAACGACAGAGTGAAACTCCGTCTCAAAATAAAATAAAATACACCGCCTGACTGGCAGTGTGATACCTTATGGCACCCCCATTAAAATCACCTCTCCACGATGAGTTTGGTCAGAATGGACTCTTCGTATTGGGTGGCATCTTCATTCTGCTGAACGTTTCGGGGGTCTTTTTTGGGTTTCACTTCGTTAAGCTGCATTCCCAGCAACGGGACGCCAGCTGGGGACATCTCTTGCCTAGTGGTGTTGCCATCTTGTTTGGAAAAGTCTAGATTATCAGAGAGAGATGAGGGAGAGCGGGCCGACTTGTCCCCTCTTTTGTCTGCTTTTTTCTTTTCTTTCACCATTGCCTTGGGAAGATCCAATGGTTACTTGAATCAAATGATTCCTTTGGTTCAGAGCTGCTTGTTTCAAAGCACTGATGAGTTTTATCTGAAAAATAAAAATTACGTCTCCAAACACTTGGGGTTTTCATTTGTAGTTAAAATTTCAGTTTTACAACACAATGTCATTATCATTCTCCTGCCAAAGTCTGAAAAATTAGTTACCACGGCCGGGTATGGCGGCTCACACCTGCAATCTCAGCACTTTGGGGAGGCCGAGGCGGGAGGATCATGTGAGTCCAGGAGGTCGAGATCAGCCTAGGCAACGTAGTGAGACGCCCCCTCTCTAAAAAAAATACAAATAAATTAGCCAGGCGTGGTGGCACATGCCTGTAGTCCCAGCTACGAGAGAGGCTCAGGTGGGAGGACTGCTTGAGCCTGGGAGGTCGGGAGATCACACCACTGCACTCCAGTCTAACAGAGCAAGACTCTGTCTCAAAAATAATAATAGTTACAAGTTTCAAGCACCATCAGTTTATAAATATATAACCTCAACACTGCATTGGTTGTTCCCAAAATTTTTTTATTTTTGAGACAGTCTCACTCTGTCACCCAGGTTGGAGTGCAGTGGCACAATCACGGCTCACTGCAGCCTCAACCACCCAGGCTCAGGCTATCCTTTCACCTCAGTCTCCCAAGTAGCTGGGACCACAGGCATGCATCACCACACCTGGCTAATTTTTTTTAGAGACAGGGTCTTGCTATGTTGCCCCGGCTGGTCTGGAACTCCTGAGCTCAAGCAACCTGCCTGTCTCAGCCTCCCAAAGTGCTGGGATTATAGGTGTGAGCCACTGCACCTGGCCCTAAAAATTATTTAAGTTGCAACCATTGTCTAGCATGGTTTCTTGAAAGGTATCCCTACACATGAAAAAGGCTACTTAACCTCTAGGAGGTGGGCAGATCATGAGGTCAGGAGATCAAGACCACCCTGGCTAACACGGTGAAACCCCGTCTCTACTAAAAATACAAAAAATTAGCCAGGCGTGGTGGCACATGCCTGTAATCCCAGCTACTTAGGAGGCTGAGGCAGGAGAATCACTTGAACCCAGGAGGCAGAGGTTACAGTGAGCTGGGATTGCACCACTGCACTCCAGCCTGGGCAACAGAGCGAGACTCTGTCTTAAAAAAAAAAACCCCTCTCCTTATAGGTCAGCATTGTAAAGTGTGCAAGAGCTGGATTCAGGGTCCTGCACTGTCCATTACCAGTTCTGTGGGTTTTGTGTTGTTGTTGTTGTTTTGAGACGGAGTCTCACTCTGTCATCCAGGCTGGAGTGCAGTGGCGCGATCTCAGCTCACTGCAACCTCTGCCTCCTGGGTTCACGCCATTCTCCTGCCTCAGCCTCCTGAGCAGCTGGGACTACAGACACTTGCCACCAAGGCTGACTGATTTCTTTCATATTTTTAGTAGAGACAGGGTTTCACCGTGTTAGCCAGGATGGTCTCGATCTCCTGACCTGGTGATCCGCCTGCCTCGGCCTCCCAAAGTGCTGGGATCATAGGCGTGAGCCACTGGGCGTGGGTGCCTGGCCCAGTTCTGTGTTTTTGAGTTTTGTTGTTGTTGTTGTTGTTTTGAGATGGAGTCTAGCCCTGTCATCCAGGCTGGAGTGCAGTGGCAGGATCTCAGCTCACTGCAACCTCCGCCTCCCGGATTCAAGCGATTCTCCTGCTTCAGCCTCCTGAGTAGCTGGGATTACAGGCGCCTGCCACCACACTCAGCTAATTTTTGTATTTTTAGTAGAGATGGGGTTTCACTGCATTGGCCAGGCTGGTCTCGAACTCCCAACCTTGTGATCTGCCCACCTTGGCCTCCCAAAGTGCTGGGGTTACAAGCGTGAGCCACCACACCCCGCTGGTTTTCTTTCTTTCTTTTTTTTTTTTTTTTTTTGAGACGGGGGTCTTGCTATGTTTTTCCCAGGCTGGTTTTGAACTCCTGGCCTCAAGCAATCTTCGCACCTTCTCCTCCCAAAGTGCTAGGATTGCAGGCATGAGCCACTGAGCTCGGTCAAGTGCTGTGTTCTAAAGCAAGTTGCTTAATCTCCTCTGTCTCAGAAATAGAAATAACAGTACCTTGTATCATAAGAATTAAATCGATGACACACAGAAAAATCCCTAAGTACAGGGTACAGAGTAAAGTCAATAAATTGAGTGATTATCTCGTCCCTTTCCTGTTTTCAAACTTGAAATCATTGGTTTCCTACTCCCTCTAGCACTGCCATCGATTGAGCGCCTCTCATATGCGAGACAAGCAAGGAAGCGTGTGCTGGAGTGGCGTTTCCAGCGCATCGTTGCTTGAGTTGTATTTCCAGCGCATCGTTGCTCGAGCTCCATTTCCAGCTCATATCTTTGCTTGTCTGGCATATGAGCTGCGGTGCAGGGTTTCAAAGCCATAGTTCACGACTTTCCTAATCTGGCCCCACCGAAAGCACCCTGGTCCATCAAGCAGGATGCATAGGTGAGCCATGTGGTGAAGGCCAGGTCTGGTCCCTTTTCATAGGTCCGACGGCTGCAGTGAGCCCTTCTTGCCCTCTTCTTCCTGGATGCCATCCTCTGGCCACCCCAGCCTCCAGCTGAACCCACCTCCAGCCTTCTCTCTTCCTCCATTGTTTATTTATTGAGACAGGGTCTCGCTCTGTCCCCCGGCTGGAGTGCAGTGGTGCGATCTCGGCTCACTGCCACCTCCGCCTCCCGGGTTCAAGTTATTCTTCTGCGTTAGCCTCCCAAGTAACTGGGATTATAGGCGCCCGCCACCACTCCTGGCTAATTTTTGTATTTTCAGTAGAGACGGGGTTTCACCATGTTGGTCAGGCTAATCTCGAACTCCTAACCTCAGGTGATCCTCCCACCTCGGCCTCCCAAAAGTGCTGGGATTACAGGCCTGAGCCACCGCGCCCGGCCAAGCTTTCTCTCTTCCTTCAAACACTACCTTGCTCCTTCACACGCCCGACCACTGTCTCAGCGAAGCCGCCCCTGGGTCACCTAGCCCAAGCTGCTCTCACCTCTAAATTTAAAGGGGCCTTTACTACGAGGTTTACGGTCCTCTGTCAGTGACCTACAAATAAGTGAACTACAAATCAAGCCAATTTCGTTTCTCAGTACGTGTTTCCTAATGTTTCCTCTGTTCTCCCGGGCTTAAGGAGAGGCCATCTCTCTCCCGTGTCTACGGTGAGGCGGGAAGAACGGGCTCCCTGCACTGGTCGGCCCGGCCTAGGCCCTCCTCGCCCATCACGCACGTGCTCTGCTCCTGGGAGGCCGCGTCAGTCCGGCCGGCCGGGAAGGAGCAGGACCCGGTCGCCACCGCTGTCCCGGCTACGCATGACCGCGGCCTGGGGCGCTCACCTCGCTCCAGGAGCCCAGAGACCTCGCCGGGCTCGGGCGAGGTGTTGCAGGGCTCTCCGCGTCCCAGATCCCGCTCTGGTCTCCAGGCAACCGCGGACGCCTCCTGGCCCGCCCTGTGCTCTTAAAGGGGCCGCGCGCCAGCGCCAAGCAGGTGTCCCGCCCTTGCTGGTCCTGAAGGCCAGGGGGAAAGGCTGGGCGCTGGAGGCAGCAGGCCAAGGGTTTCCCAGCTCTGCTAACTGCTTCATCATAAAATAGGAATAACGCAGGCATTAGTTTTTCCATTGCTGCTGTAAACAAATTACCATAAATTTAGTGGCTTGAAGCAACACAAATTTATTATCCTACAGTCTGTAAATTAGGCCCACAGTGCTGGTTCCTTCCAGAGGCTGCGGTGAAGCATCCGTTTCCTTGCCTTTTCCAGCTTTTCCAGAAGCGGTCCCCAACCTTTTTGGCACCAGAGACCGGTTTCACAGAAGACAATTTCTCCACGGATGGGGGTAGGGAATGGTTTCAGGATGATTCAAGTGCATTGCATTTACTGTGCATTTTATTTCTATTATTATTACATTGTAATATATAAGTAAATAATTCTACAACTCACCATCATAGACTCAGTGGGAGCCTGAGCTTGTTTTCCTGCAACTAGACGGTCCCATCTGGGGGTGACGGGAGACAGTGACAGATCATCAGGCATCAGATTCTCTTAAGGAGTGTGCAGCCTACATCCCTCGCGTGTGCAGTTCACAATAGGGTTTGTGCTCCTATGAGAATCTAATGCCCACCGCTGATACGCCAGGAGGTGGCGCTCAGGTGATAACACCAGCCATGGGGACTGGATCTAAATACAGATGAAGTTTCGCTGGCTTGCCCGCCCCTAACCTGCTGTGCACCCTGGTTCCTAACAGGCCATGGACCACTACTGGTGTGTGGCTGGAGTGCTGGAATCCCTGTTCCAGAGGCTGCTTGCAATCCTTGACTAGTGGTACCTCCTTCCATCTCCAAAACCAGCAAGGCAGCTTCTCTCTGGCCAGCAGGGAAAGGTCTCCACCTTCGAAGGACTCACCCAATGGACTGGGCCCACCCAGACAATCCAGGATAATCTCTCTACTGCAAGATCCTTGACTCGGCCAGGCAGTATGGCTCACACCTGTCATCTCAGCACGTTGGGAGGCCGGGGCAGGTGGATCACCTGAGGTCAGGAGTTCGAGACCAGCCTGGCCAGCATGCAACATAGTGAAACCCTGTCTCTACTAAAAATACAAAAATTAGTCGGCTGTGGTTGTGGGCACCTGTAATCCCAGCTACTGTGGAGGCTGAGGTGGGAGAATCACTTGAACCTGGGAGGCAGAGGCTGCAGTGAGCTGAGATCAGGCTATTGTACTCCAGCCTGGGCAACAGGAGTGAAACTTCAAAAAAAAAAAAAAAAAAAAATTCTTCACTCAATCACACCTGCCGAGTCCCTTCTGCCATGTGAGGCAGCCTGGTCACAGGTTCTGGGGATTAGGACACAGCTGTCTTGGGGGCTATTATCCTGCCACAGCTGCCAGTCTGCAGAGTTCGTAAGTGGGATCCTGCAGACGCCAGCACAGTGCCAGACACGATGGCACAGTTACTACTGTACTGCCTCCTCCATCCAGGAGCCCTCTCTTCCTTGAAGCCCAATCTGGGGAAGGGGTGGGGCAGCAGGGGAGTCACATCCGTCCTCATTGGGCCCCCAAGAGGACATCTTTACTTCCATTTTCAGCCCAAACAGGACAAGGTTCCATGAAAACGACTTGAAAAGACAGACAGGGATTCTTATATTCCCAGAACCACTCAAGGCCAGTAACTGGAATGTTCTACAGTTCACACCCTGAGGAACCAAATCACAGCATCAAATTATGGGAAAATCAAACTCTTTTTGCTCCCCTGCGAGGACAGCACTTTGCTACCTTGGCCGCACAGAGGAATGTTTAAAAATAGTGACCCCTGTCCCATCCAGTCATTTTCTTCCAGCCGGGCAGAGAATCCCCCTTGTTTAAAAATTTAATGTGAATCAGGACTGAGAATCACTAACCCAAAAGGACCCTAATTTTAAATTTATGAAATTAAAGAAGAATTTAATTATTAAGGGTTGAAAGTTATAGATTAAACTATGTCCAGCCAGAGCAGAGGGCTGAGTGACTTCCAGAGCGGTTTGTTTTGTTTTGAGACGGAGTCTTGTTCCATCCCCCAGGGTAGAGTACAATGGCGCGATCTCGGCTCACTACAACCTCCGTCTCCATGGTTCAAGAGATTCTCCTGCCTCAGCCTCCCAAGTAGCTGGGATTACACGCCTGGCTAATTTTGCATTTTTAGTAGAGGTGGGGTTTCTCCATGTCAGGTTGGTCTCGCACTCCCGACCTCAGGTGATCCGCCTGCCTCAGCCTCCCAAAGTGCTGGGATCACAGGCATGAGCCACCACGGCCAGCCCAAGTGTTCTTATTTTTATAAAATATGTTCCTGCCTGGACACACAGACACACACACACACACGAGCGCATGCAAACAGAGAAAAAAAAATTTTTGCAAGTAGCGCTCCATCTGGTCTGAAAAGGTTCTCAAGATCACTTTTAAATGGGTCTGATGTGTATTTTTTTTTTAAGTAGCAGGTTCATTTGAAAACAAAAAAGGTTAGTGAAGACCCTGTCTCTCAAAACATAAAAATCTGCAATAAAACCGATGATTCCACACAGTGACTACTGTCAGTTCTGCGAAATGACACCCAGGTTGGCTATGTGTCTCATGGTTGGCCTTCCATGGGGACAGTTCCAGGGGTGGTCCATCTCCCCCATATGGGTGATCAGTTTCTTCATCTCGCTTGTGTTAAGAGCAGTTCCAATCATCACCTGAGGACCAGACACAATGGTTCAACGTTTTAATAGGTTTTTTTGACATCAGAATGGCAGCTCTTCAGAAGCACTGTTGTCTAAAATGAGACTGGACAAGATTACAGCTCAAAAAAACCACCTTCCCTGAAAAACCTTCCCCCAGAGAAGCCTAGGTTCTAGATCTCAGCCCTCCACCTTTCTGTGACATCAGGTCCCTTGTGGCTGCTTCGAGGTGGCACCGCCTCCACTCGACACGACCACACCTGTCCCGAACGCAGCCACTCTCAGCGGCCACCCTGCCCTCTTGCCCTGGCAGGTGCAGCAGCCTCCCAGCTGGGCTCCCCGCCCCACTGCGAGCCCTCCGAGCTGCTCTCCACCCAGCAGCCAGTGATTACATCTAAAGCGCTGTCAGGTCATGTCGTTCCGCTCCACAGCTTTCCCCTCACCTGAATAAAAGCCCCCGTCTGTCCCTGACTTGGCCCTCACTGGGCTGTGCCTGCACCCCCACCTCCAAGCACGAATGCCTCCCTTCCTCACCCCAGCTGCACTGCTACTCCCTTCCTCTTGCACATCAAGCAAACACCTGCCTCAGGGCTGCGGCACTGCCGGGACCCTCTCCCCCAGTGGGTGCAGGCGTCACTCCCCCTCTGTTGAGCTCCACCCTGCTGCCCTGGCAGGGTACTCCAGCCCTGGCCCTGCTGCCTCCCTGCCATGGGTCCTCTGACAGGAAGGAGAGGAGACAAGCCTGAAGTGCTCTGTCGCCTCCCTTCTTCCTGCAGCACCCTGAGGGCTTGCCATGTGCCAAGCACAGTCGGAAAGCGGCGACAGCAGTGACGGCAGGGTTCCACCAGGTCAGAGGAGGACAGATAATCAACAAGTCAACAGAGAACCAAGACAGATGGCGCCCAGGAGAGGGGGCCTGCTCAGGTGTGGGGAGGGGGTGAAGGGTGAAGGTGGCAAACCCAGGTAGAGAGGAGCGTAGGGTGTAAAGCGGGGAGGAGACTGGGCGAGTGTGGAACTGGAAGGCGGCTACATGGCTGGAAGCGTGGTCGGGAGGAGATGGGGCTGGAAGGGTGGGCAGGGCTCAGAGCAGGGGCCTCGTGGGCAGGCAGTGACAACACTGGAGACGGAGGAGTAGGCCAGGGTGGGAGGGAAGGAGCAGCCTGTGGTTCCCCAGGCCCCTGAGTCACACTAAAGACTCAGGACGTCAAAACTGACCAGCTGTGAGCTCAGCTCCACACTCTCACTCACAGACACCAAGAATGGAAGGTCCATATTAGGTCTTGTTTTTTTTTTTGCGAGGCAGGGGGTGGTGAGGAGACTGTCTCCCAGGCTGGAGTGCACCAGTGCGATCTCAGCTCACTGCACCTCCGCCTCCCAGATTCAAGCAATTCTCCCGCTTCAGCCTCCCGAGTAGCTGGGATTACAGGCGCCCGCCACCACACCCAGCTAATTTTTGTACTTTTAGTTGGGGTGGGGTTTCACCATGTTGGCCAGGCTGGTTTCAAATTCCTGACCCCAGGTAATCAACCCACTTCCGCCTTCCAAAATGCTGGGATTACAGGTGTGAGTCACCACGCCCAGCCCATATTAGGTCTTTATCAAAGCAACACTGTGGCTAGAACTCAGACTCTGGGCCCTCTTCTAATTAAACTCTGCCTTTGAGTCATTTCATCTAATCTCATGGCTGTAAGTTGCACCTAATGCTCCCACAGCAGGCTCCCTCCCACCCACTCCCCACGTGGCCCCCAGCTGCTGCTCTCCCCAGCTGTGGCAGTCAAGGCACCCCCTTCGTCTGTTCTCTCTCCAGCAGCTGCAATCATGGGACTCCTAGTCCATTCTCTCCAGTGGCTCCCGCCACACACAGCACAGACCCCAGGGTCTAGGCATGACCAGCAATACTCTACGTGGCTGTCCTCTGGTCGCCGCTCTGCTCACTCCCTTCCCCTCTCCAGGGACACAATCGGCCTCTGGCTTCAGTCTTCCTACTTCCTCCACTTGGAAAGTTCTTACCCAAGAGGGCTCCAGCCTACTTTTTTTTTTTTGAGACAAGGTCTTACTCTGTCACCCAGGCTGGAGTACAGTTGCGTGATCTTGGCTCACTGCAACCTCGACCTCCCCGGCTCAAGTGATCCTCCCACCTCAGCCTCCTGAGTAGCTGCTGACTGCAGGCACCCGCCACCACGCCTGGCTAATCTTTTAATTTCCCCACCTTTTAGATGGCAGCTGAGATGCCACCTGCCCAGATGCCGTTCCCTGACCACCATCTCACCTGGTCACCATGTTTTTCTGTAGTTATTTCCTGTCCCAAAATGCTGTTTTAGGCTGAGCGTGGTGGCTCACGCCTGTAATCCCAGCACTTTGGGAGGCCCAGGCGGGCGGATCACGAGGTCAGGAGATTGAGACCAGCCTGACCAACATGGTGAAACCCAGTCTCTATTAAAAATATAAAAATTAGCCAGGTGTGACGGCATGCGCCTGTAGTCCCAGCTACTCTGGAGGCTGAGGCAGGCGAATCGCTTGAACCCGGGAGGTGGAGGTTGCAGTGAGCTGAGATCACACCACCGCACTCCAGCCTGGTAGCAGAGCAAGACTCTGTCTCAAAAACAAACAAACAAACAAACAAAAGCGCTGTTTGAATCTGTTGGCTGTGCTCACTGGCATCTAATGGGTGTCGTTTATTTGTGGTGATGTCTGTTTCTCCCCACTGTCCGCTCCACAGGGGAAGGGGCCGCAGCCGCCTTGTTACCCCTATGTCCCCAGCACCTGGAGCAGGGCGGGCCCACAGCAGGGGCTCAAGGAGCATCTGCTGAATAAATCAACGAATGGCATCCTGGCCTTTCCCAATGGCCAGCTGATACAGAGTCACTTTTCTTGGATATCAGGCTACTCCCCACTGCAGGCGTAGCCCCTGCTACCACCTTCCAACACCAACCAGAGCAGCGGCAGTGATGCCACGTGCAACGACAACCACAGCACCCCGTGAAGCACCCGCTGCCTCGATGACTCTGCAGAACCTTGTCTAACTCCTCCGAGTCCTGGCAGCAGCAAATCTTTATCTACCAGTGTTGTTAGCACCCATAAGGTCCATAGACGAACAAGGTGCCTCAACCACTAACTGCGTTGGAGTCAACGAAAGCTCTGAGATAGAATACTGGCCGGGCACGGTGGCTCATGCCTGTAATTCCAGCACTTCGGGAGGCTGAGGCAAGGGGCAAAAGGAGACCATGTTTCTACAGAAAATTTAAACATTAGCTGGGCATGGTGGTACGTGCCTGTAGTCACAGCTACTCGGAAGACAGAGGCAGGAGGATTGCTTCAGCCGGGGAGGTCAAGGCTACAGTGAGCTGTGATTGTGGCACTACACTCCAGCCTGGGCGACAGAGGGAGATCCCATCTTAAAAAAAAAAAAAGAATACTGTTTTTTTTTTTTTTTTTCTTTGAGATGGAGTCTCACTCTGTCGCCCAGGTTGGAGTGCAGTGGTGTGAACTCGGCTCACTGCAAGCTCCGCCTCCCGGGTTCTCACCATTCTCCTGCCTCAGCCTCCCGAGTAGCTGGGACTACAGGTGGCCGCCACCACGCCCGGCTAATTTTTTCGTATTTTTTGGTAGAGACGGGGTTTCACCGTGTTAGCCAGGATGGTCTCGATCTCCTAAACTCGTGATCCTCCCGCCTCGGCCTCCCAAAGTGCTGGGATTAGAGGCTTGAGCCACTGCGCCCGGCCAGGAATACTGTTTAACTGAGGTAACAAAAGAGCAATAACTATGAGTTCAAGGTCCCAGAGAATGCAGACTACATAGATGCTCAGCTATGATGTTCCACATAGCTCTGTGTAAAATGACCCCTGGCAATCACAAGGGTGTTTAACAGCCTTGACCAACTCAGGAGCTGGGCTGAGACCTTCCTCAGACTGAAACTTGAGCAGCTGAGCTGACAGCCGGGCTTTCTTTACTCACCGACTTCCGACAGGCTCTGGAGGCAAACATCTGCTTGACTCGGGACGGCCGGCACATGACCCCAGGGCTGTCGCTTAGCAAAAAGATCAGTTCATCGATGTCCTGGGGTCCGAAGGTCCAGTTTTTACTAGTTGGCAAGGAAATCAATTTAGCCCTTTCAGTCACTGGAGCTAAAAGAATACAATTTTGAGAAAAATCCATGACTTGAGAAACACGTTTCACTTGAAAGCTACTTAGAATGAACATCTGAGGCTGGGCGCGGTGGCTCACGCCTGTAATCCCAGCACTTTGGGAGGCCGAGGCGGGCGAATCATGATGTCAGGAGATGCAGACCATCCTGGCTAACATGGTGAAACCCCGTCTCTACTAAAAAATAGAAAAAATTAGCCAGGCCTGTAGTCCCAGCTACTCAGGAGGTTGAGGCAGGAGAATGGTGTGAACCCGGGAGGTGGAGCTTGCAGTGAGCCGAGATTGAGATTCCATCTCAAAAAAAAAAAAAAAAAAAAAAGAATGAACATCTGAAAGAGAGAGGACAGTCACAAAATGCTTTTTGGGGGAGGCTTTTTCATCTTTTATAAAATTAAAAAACTGGTCTGTATGACCTGAAAGATTATTCCCAGCTCTAAAAAGACAAGAATCTATAGTTCTAATTTTTTTTTTTTTTGAGACAGAGTTTCACTCTTGTCACCCAGGCTGGAGTGCGGTGACATGATCTCGGCTCACTGCAACCCTTGTCTCCTGGGTTCAAGCAATTCTCCCACCTCAGCCTCCTGAGTAGCTGGGATGACAGGCGCCCGCCACCACACCAGGCTAATTTTTCTATTTTCAGTAGAGATGGGGTTTCACCACGCTGGCCAGGCTGGTCTCGAACTCCTGACCTCAGGCGATCTGCCCGCCTTGGCCTCCCAGAGTGCTGGGATTACAGGCTTGAGTCACCACACCCAGCCGCTATGTTTCTAATTAATGACTTACCATTTTCATCAATAACAAAATCAAAGCCATTCTTTCTAAATATTTCCAGATTTTCTATCAGAACAGCTTCGTTAACAGCAGTTAAGTTGAGAGTCTGAGGTCTGAAAAACACAAAAATGATGCAAACTGTATCCTGAAGCCAAACATTTTGCTTTACAGCAGAAATGAAATGAAAACAACAATACTGTATTTTGAATTCATGTCAAAATAGCAACATGAATAACAACACTATTCAGCTAAGTGTCATAAAACTTCCTGAGAAGTTCCTTTTAATTCTCTCTTTCTTAAAGTTCTTTTTAGAAGATAAAGTAGCTACAGGCCAGGTGCAGTGGCTCACGCCTGTAATCTCACCACTTTAGGAGGCCAAGGCAGGCAGATCTCTTGAGGCCAGGAGTTTGAGACCACCCTGGTCAACATGGTGAAACCTTCTCTCTACTAAAAATATAAAAATTAGGCCAGGCATGGTGGCGCGTGCCTGTTGTCCCAGCTACTTGGGAGGCTTAGGCAGGAGATTCGTTGGAACCCAGGAGGCAGAGGTTGCAGTGAGCCAAGATCACGCCACTGCACTCCAGCCTCGGAGACACAAGACTATCTCCAAAAAATAAAAAAATAAAAAAAACACCCACAAAAACAAAAATGAGCTGGAAGTGGTGGCTCATGCCTGTAATCCCAGCTACTTGGGAGGCTGAGGCACTAGAATTGCTTGAACCCAGGAGGCGGAGGTTGCAGTGAGCTGAGATCGCACCACTGCACTCCAGCCTGGGCAACAGGGCAAGACTCTGTCTCGAAAAAAAAAAAAGAAAAGTTAAAGTAGCTACAAAAGTAGTTTGCCTTTTCCTCAGTCTGCCACCCCAATGACTCCAACTTTTTCTGAATCCTTTCCTTAAGGATAACAATATCACAAAAATGCTATTTTTCCTCCTTCTAATAGAGAATTTGAAACACTGGGTTAGGTCATTGCCAGCATTTGTAAACAGAATGAACAGACAGAATTTATTTTGCTATCCTGTTCCATCCTCTGCCTGTATTATATCTCCATCCTTCTCCTGGATTTAGTGTGTGCTTTTTTTTTTTTTTTTAACTTTTTGTTATTTTTTCAAAGATAGAGACAGGATCTCACTATGTTGCCTAGGCTGGTCTCAAACTCCTGGGCTCAAGCGATCCTCTCACCTCGGCCTCTGAAAGTGCTGGGATTACAAGTGTGAGCCACTGCATCCAGTTCTGAGTGCTGGATAAGACAAACACTGCTAAAGGCAGGAGACAGCCAGTGAGCAAACACAGGCGTGGTCCTGGAGCTAACAGATTACTGGGGAAGAAAGACGTTGAGCAGATACTCATGCAAGTCGATTATGATGACAAACGACAGAAAGGTCAGGAAGAAAAAGCACCCAGTGTCATAAGTGAGACTTCACCCGGGGTCAGGAAGTGACCTTTGAGCTGAGTCTGGGGATAAGAGAGAGTTAATCAGGTAATGGGGGAGAAGTGGGTGCAGGGGGCAGGACAAGTACTCTAGGCAGAGAAAACAATGTGTGCCAAGCCTCGGGATGGACCGCTGATGTTTGCAGAGCCACACATAAAGATATCCTTCATTCTGCTTAGTGGCCACACAGGGATTCATCAGGCCTGCCAAGGGAAAAAGAAAGATGGCCAGAGAGGCTCGAGTACAGGGAACAAGAGGAAGAGGAACGGGAAAAGCTACAGAGGTCAACGGGGCCACCCTACACAGGGGCTGGCAGGGCAGGGTGGAACTGGGCCTTTATCCTTTAATCTTGAAGTGTGGTCCATCTGGAACCCAAAGTGGTCTGTGATTACCTGGGCCAACTTGAGATGTCACAGACGAGAGGTTATCTTTGCCGAATGGCTAAAAAATGCAAGACCTCAGCTGGGCACGGTGGCTCATGCCTGTAATCCCAGCACTTTGGGAGGCTGAGGCGGGTGGATCACCTGAGGTCAGGAGTTCGAGACCAGCCTGATCAACATGGCAAAACCCCCTCTCTACTAAAAATACAAAAATTAGCCAGGTGTGGCAGGCGGGCGCCTGTAGTCCCAGCTACTCGGGAGGCTGAGACACAAGAATCACTTGAACCGGGAGGCAGAGGTTGCAGTGAGCCAAGATCACACCACTGCACTCCAGCCTGGGCAAAGGAGCGAAACACTGTCAACAAAACAAAAAAAAAAAAAAAAAAGAAAAACCTCCATTAAGAGGAACAGGGAAGGGATATCTCAGGATTATAAAGTAGCTTACTAAATGTCTTTATTATTACCATTGCCTCCTACTGAGAATAAAAACAATTCATGCATTCCACAGGAGAGTACGCAGTAAACTAGATAGGTTTTTTCCAGCTGTTCAGGGATACATTTCTCCATGTGGGATCTACTTGTTGGGATCTCAGTTCACTTCTCTGTGTGGTTTAATTTCCCGCATGAAAATCCATGACCTCTTCTTACAACTTTGCTCAAGACAAGACTTTGGTTTTATACTATACACTATCACACCTGGCCTTTGTAAAGTGATCAGGGTAAAACATCCCAGTTTGGCCGAGGAAAGAGAAATACCAAATTCTGCAGTGACTATCTTAAAATAATGTTTATATTTTATTTTATTTATTTGTGAGGCAGAGTCTTACTGTCTCACTCTGTCTCCCAGGCCGGAGTGCTGTGCAGTGGCATGTTTATATTTTTTTTATTTATTTATTTGTGAGGCAGAGTCTCACTGTCTCACTCTGTCTCCCAGGCCGGAGTGCTGTGCAGTGGCACAACCATGGCAGCCTCAATCTCCTGGACTCAAATGATTCTCCCACCTCAGCCTCCTGAATAGCTGGGACCACAGGCACACACTATCAAGTCTGGCTAATTTTTTATATTTGTTGTAGAGACAAGGTTTCACCATGATACCCAGGCTGGTCTCAAACTCCTAAGCTCAAGGGATCTGCCTGCCTCAGCCTCCCAAAGCTCTGGGATCATAGGCGTGTGCCCCTGCACTCAACCTGCAGCGACCATCTGACTCCTGATTACTCTACTGTAAATCAAGACTGGCGCACAGGCTTTCTGAACACACACATTCCATACACTATCCATACTAATACTGGGTACTAAAAATTGCCCTCATCAAAAGGAGCTTCTGGCTAACCAGTGATCAACATTTTTAATAGCTAAAAAGGTCTGATACTTAGAGAACATGTTAACTGTGTGAACTTGGGCAGGTTACTCAACCTCTCTGTGTGCCTCAGTTTTATCACTTGTGGAATGGTGATGGTAACAGTAACAACCTCATTGGTTTTTGAGGATTAAATGAACTAATACACACACATTATTTCAACAGTGCCTGGCAGATACTAGGCATTCAATAAATGGTAACTATCACTATTATTAGGTAAAAAGTATAAAAATCTGCTATACAAATACTTATGGAAAAATACATATATACATATAGACACACATATAAACTAGTAGATCTCTTTTTTTTTTTTTTTGAGATGCAGTCTCGCTGTGTCGCCCAGGCTGGAGTGCAGTGGTGGATCTCGGCTCACAGCAACGTCTATCTCCCAGGTTCAAGCGATTCTCCTACCTCAGCCTCCTGAGTATCTGGAATTACAGACGTGCACTGCCATGCCTGGCTAATTTTTTGTATTTTTACTTTTTATCATTATTATTTTTTTTTGAGATGGAGTTTCACTCTTGCTGCCCAGGCTGGAGTGCAATGGTGCGAACTCGGCTCACCACAACCTCCATCTCCCGGGTTCAAGCGATTCTCCTGCCTCAGCCTCCCAAGTAGCTGGGATTACAGGTGCCCGCCACCATGCCCGGCTAATTTTGTATTTTTACTACAGACAGGGTCTCACCATGTTGGTCAAGCTGGTCTTGAACTCCGGACCTGGAGTGATCTATCTGCCTCAGCCTCCCAAAGTGCTAGGATTACAGGTGTGAGCCACCGTGCCCGGCCTTTTTGTATTTTTAGTAGAGGTGGGGTTTCACCATGTTGGCCAGGCTGCTCTCGAACTCCTGACCTCAGGTGATCCGCCTGCCTCGGCCTCCCAAAGTGCTGGGATTACAGGTGTGAGGCACTGCACCCGGCCAGTTCGATCTTTTTTATTTTTTACACCCCTCCTTCCTAGATCTCTTCCTTTTTTAGTAGATATGAGGTCTTGCTATGTTGCCCAGGCCGGTCTCAAACTGCTGGTCTCTTGCGATCCTCTTGCCTCGGCCTCTGTTAGATCTTAAATTTGAGGGGGAGTTTGGGAATCAACACTAAAAAACACTTACGCAATAAGCCTCTGTCCCTGGAGCACGGTGTGCTGTTGCAGCATCTCAAAGTTGTATTTCTCATCCGTGGCATGCTGGTCCACTATGAAGAGATCCTCGTTCAGTTTGGTTATTATAAATCCCAGGTTAAACTGACCAACGATTTCCATTTCTGCAAACATCGTTTTACTGCAGGTAGAAAATGTTAATTATGAGACACTGTACAAGATTATTTTTCTGATTATGTTATAGATGACTGTAATAAAAAAAAGTCAGACAATACAAAAACACAAAATAATAAAGTCCCCAGTCATCCTACTTTCTTTTTTTTTTTTTTAAGACAGAGTCTCGTTCTGTCACCCAGGCTGGAGTGCAATGGCACAATCTCAGCTCACTGCAACCTCCACCTCCCAGGTTCAAGTGATTCTTCTGCCTCAGCCCCCTGAGTACCTGGGATTACAGGCAAATGCCACCATGCCCAGCTAATTTTTGTATTTTTAGTAGAGACAGGAGTTTCCTCATGTTGGTCAGGCTGGTCTCGAACTCCTGACCTCATGATCTGCCCGCCTTGGCCTCCCAAAGTGCTGGGAATTACAGGCATGAGTCACCACACCTAGCTTAACCATCCCACTTTCTAAAGATAACATTAATTATTCATTCATCCAAGTCTCCGGAGAAGGCATCAGTTGCTACTATTAACAATTTAAATGGAATATATCCTTCTAGACCCTTGTCTCTCTATATAAATTTTTTTTAATTTTAAAAAACAAAAATGGAACCTTAATTCTCCATTCCACTGTCATCACTTAATGCATCTGAAAGATGTTTGTAGATCTGTACACATAGATCTACTTCATTTTTTTTTTATTATTATTTTTCTAAGACGGAGTCTCACTCTGTTGCCCAGGCTGGACTGCAGTGGCACGACCCTGGCTCAAGGCAACCTATGGTCCTGGGTTCAAGCGATTCTCCTGCCTCAGCCTCTCGAGTAGCTGGGACTACAGGCATGCACCGTCAAACCCGGCTAATTTTTTTCTTTTTAGTAGAGACGAGGTTTCACCGTGTTGGCCAGGCTGGTCTTGAACTCCTGACCTCAAGTGATCCACCCACCTCGGCCTCCCAAAATGCTGGGATTACAGGCGTGAGCTACCGCGCCCAGCCTACTTCATTCTTTTTAATGGCCACATAAGAAGTCACTGCACGGATGTACAGTAATTTGTCTGTCAAATTCCCGACTAAAGCACATTTCGGTTGTTTCCAATTTCAATCGTGCACTCAAAGCTGCAACAAAGACTTCTGTGCATAAACCTGCTCATCTGTGGGTGCATTTCCGGAAGACAGACGCTAGAGGCAGAGTCACATATGTACTTTTTGATGGGAAATCTGAGAAAATGCACATTGCCGCCAATGGTGTCTAAGAGTACCTTTTGCCAATACTGGATATCAACCCTTCTAATCTCTGCCAGGCCGACCCCTGGGCCCTTTGCTGGGTGACTTCAACATCTAATGTCATTAGATACTATCTTAGTCAATCCGGACAAAAGACAGACACCACCCCTAACCTTCACACGAGAAACTGACACTGTCACTCTCAGTCCCACACAAGTAAACGCGGTAAAAACGGATTTTCCGCAGTACCAGTGCTGTAACTATAAGAAATGACTCTGTTAAAGCAGACGTTTTAAAGCAGACTCTGTTAAACCATGGACGTTTTCTGGTTCTCACCTGGTGGCCTGAGCTGAGGATGAAAGGAGTTGAGATTAGGCTGGGCACAGGGGCTCATGCCTGGAATCCCAGCACTTTGGGAGGCCAAGGTGGGCAGATCATTTGAGGTTGGCAGTTCAAGACCAGCCTGGCCAACATGGTGAAACCCCATCTCTACTAAAAATACAAAAAATTAGCCAGGCGTGGTGGTGGGCCCCTGTACTCCCAGCTACTTGGGAAACTAAGGCAGAAGAATCGCTTGAACCCAGGAGGCAGAGGTTGCAGTGAGCTGAGATCATGCCAGTGCACTCCAACCTGGGTGAAAGAGCGAGACTCTGTCTCAAAAAAAAATAAAGGGCTGGGCACGGTGGCTCAAGCCTGTAATCCCAGCACTTTGGGAGGCCGAGGCAGGCGGATCACGAGGTCAGAAGATCGAGACCATCCTGGCTAACACAGTGAAACCCCGTCTCTACTAAAAATACAAAAAATTAGCCGGGTGAGGTGGCGGGCGCCTGTAGTCCCAGCTACTCCGGAGGCTGAGGCAGGAGAATGGCATGAACCCGGGAGGCGGAGCTTGCAGTGAGCCGAGATCGCGCCACTGCACTCCAGCCTGGGTGACAGAGCAACACTCCGTCTCAAAAAAAAAAAAATAAATAAAAATAAAAAAAATAAAGGAGCTGATATTGTTGTTTCTTTCTATAAGTGCTCCAGGAAGACCCAGTCCCATGCCACCATGCTCATCACCATCACAATCAACCACAGGGGAGAGTCTGGTGAACTGTGAGACCTCCACATGGCATGGATTACTGAGCCCACATTTCCTATTGTGAGGGGCTCCACACAGAGCTCAAATCCAAGTCATAACCAAACCAATCCCCAAATCTTATCTTCGAGGGTCTGTCTCCTGGTACCAATTCCATATCAGTCAGAGTACAATCAAGAGACAAAAACCACACCAGTGATTTTAACAGGGATTCTGTTTGTTTTTTTTTTTAAAGACAGGGTCTTGCTCTGTCGCCCAGGCTGCAGCACAATGGAATGATCATAGCTCACTGCAACCTCAAACTCCTGAGCTCAAGTGAGCCTCCCGCCTCAGCCTCCTGAGTACCTGGGACTACAGGCATGCAGCAGTGTACTTGGCTAATTTTTTTTTTTCTTCAGAGATGGAGTCTCATTATATTGCCCAGGCTGTTCTCAAACTCCCTGCCTCAGCCTCCCAAAGTGCTGGAATTACATGGCACCACCATGCCAGGCCTGAGGAGGAAAAATTTATAATAAAGCATTACACAAACTAGTAAAAAGTGATTAACTACTATGTTAATAAATACAGGAATGGAAAATGCTACTACCTCTAGGGAAGAGGGAGAGTCCTCAGAAAAGGAACTCTTTTTTTTCTTCTTTTTTTTTTTTTTTTTTTTGAGATGGAGTTCGCTCTTGTTGCCCAGGCTGGAGTGCAGTGGTGCAATCTCGACTCACCACAACCTTCACCTCCCGGGTTCAAGTGATTCTCCTGCCTCAGCCTCCCGAGTAGCTGGGATTACAGGCGTGCACCACCACATCCCAGTAACTTTGCATTTTTAGTAGAGACAAGGTTTCTCCATGTTGGTCAGGCTGGTCTCGAACTCCCGACCTCAGGTGATCCGCCTGCCTCCGCCTCCCAAAGTGCTGGGATTACAGGCATGAGCCACCGTGCCCGTCAGAAAAGGAACTCTTGTAAGAGGCCCCTCCCCACTCAGGCTGAGTTTCAGATCTCCTCGGAGCAGGAGTGGCTGCAGCCTGCTGGATGAAGAGAAGCTGCCAGAGTGAGTGATGACGCAGGAACTCCTACACCGCAGGAGGGAAGGGAAAGGACATCCCAGAAGCATCCCAGATACCAGCACAAATACCACCTCCCCTGGTGCCGATCCCAGGCTCTCCCGGGAATTGTCTGAATGTGCCCTGGTTCCCAGTACACAGATAATCTGCTCAAAAGCTGGTGCTGGCCTAAAAGACCCAAGTCTTCCATGTCTTTGGAGTCTATGTCCTGCCACAGAGAACAGTATCTGGCCAGGTGCAGATACTGGAATTACAACTGTGCACTACCGTGCCCAGCCAATTTTATTGTAGAGACAGGGTCTCCCTATGTTGCCCAGGCTGGTCTTGAACTCCAGGGCTCAAGTGATCCTCCCTCCTCGGCTTGGCTTCCCAAAGTGCAGGGATTACAGGCGTGAGCCACCGCACCCAGCTTCCAAATACTCTTAAGAAAAAAACTTTACCTGGCCGGGTGCAGTGGCTCACGCCCGTAATCCTAGAACTTTCAGAGGCCGAAGTGGGTGGATCACCTGAAGTCAGGAGTTCGAGACCAGCCTGGCCAACATGGTGAAACCCTGTTTTCACCAAAAATACAAAAATTAGCCAGGCATGGTGGTGCGCACTTGTAATCCCAGCTACTCAGGAGGCTGAGGCAGGAGAATCACTTGAACCCGGGAGGTGGAGGCTGCATTGAGCCAAGATCGCACCACTGCACTCCAGCCTGGGCGACAGAGCGAGACTCTGTCTCAAAAAAAAAAAAAATAAACAAAAATTTAAATAAAAGTAAAAAAGTAAAAAATTAAAACGTTACCTTATCTCTTTCCTTAGTTCATCTTCAGCTGCTTGATTTTCTCCAGGGCAAATCTTTGCCCTAAACTTCCTATAATTCTGTTCACCTTCACTTTGCTGTGTTTCACGATGTAACTGCTTTATTCGTTTAGCTAAAGAACTCATAGAAAAGTCCAGGGCTACAACCTTCTTATTAATTTTAACAGCTACATCAACCTGAGAGGCTGACACGTTCTGAGTATTTACTAACTTTTGACGAATGTCAGAATTGGAAAGAATTTCTTCTTTTTTAAAACGCTTTGTGTTTGGGGATGCGAGATTAGTTGGCTGAGGCGAAACTCGAAATTTACACGCTGTGTCTTCCTGGTTTGGATGGCAGTCCATATCTGAAAAGGAGTCGTCAGTTTCAGGCGCTTTCTCTTGAGAGTCCGCGTGTTCCTGTGAGCCCCTGTCCTCTGGGGAGCTGGCCGCACACTCGCTGCTGCAGTGACTGCCCGTGTCTGGGATGCTGAACCCCTCAGAATCCACGGAAGTGCTGCCGTGCCCCGAGTCCTTCTCCACCTCCGCTCCGTCCGTAGGGTCCCTGGGTCCCTGACCGGAACTCGTTGCCTCTTTCTGAGGTCTCAGGAAGCCTCTGTCAGAGACGGCATCTGAAGTGCTAGAAGATGGCGTACCCCTTTTCTGTCCTGGAGGGCTCCTTCTTGCTTCTGGAGTCTTTGGGCTGTGAGGCTTGTTCTCCGTTGTGTGACGAAGAGAAAAGGCCTCTCGCAGTCTGGAAATGGACACGTCCCTTTTTTCTTCTCGAGTCCTTAATGAAGGGGAATGATCCTGCTTTTCTACCAAGGGCTTCTCCAAATCCGCTGCATGCATTTTTACTAAGTTACCTAAGCAAACGTGAACGGAGAAGAGGGTCAGGGACTATCCCAAAATGGTGAGAGGACGTGCTTATGTGAACAGATACTTCACAAAAGAGGAGATCCACATGCTAATTACACAGATGAACACGGTTCAATGTTCAAAATAAAACTATAATATGGGCCAGGTGTGGTGGCTCACGCCTGTTATCCCAGCACTTTGGGAGGCCAAGGTAGGTGGATCACATGAGGCTAGGAGTTCAAGACCAGTCTGGACAACATGGCGAAACCCTGTTTCTACTAAAAATACAAAAATTAGCCGGGTGAGGTGGGGCACATCTGTAATCCCAGCTACCTGGGAAGCTGAGGCACGAGAATCCCTTTAGCCCGGGAGGCAGAGGTTGCAATGAGCAAGATGTCGCCACTGCTCTCCAGCCTGGGTGACAGAGCGAGACTCTGTCTCAAAAAAAACCAACACAATACGATGTGGCCATATACTCACCAGAATGGGCAAAATTTAAAAACAACAAATTCTCACAAAGATCAGGATGGAGTGGAATGACTGAATACCTCTGGTAGGAATGAACCTGGTACAGCTGCTTTGAAAAGCTCTCTGGGAATACCTCCTAAATCTGAATGGATGCACACCTGCAACCCAGCATAGTACTCCTATCAGAAGTGCCTATTGGCTGGGCACAGTGGCTCACGCCTGTAATCCTCGCCCTTTGAGGTCAGGAGTTCAAGACCAGCCTGGCCAACATGATGAAACCTCGTCTCTACTAAAAATACAAAAAAAAATTAGCAGGGCACAGTGGAACAAACTTATAATCCCAGCTACTACGGAGGATGAGAATGAGGCAGGAGAATCACTTGAACCTGGAAGGCGGGGGCTGCAGTGAGCCAAGATCACTCCACTGCACTCCAGCCTGGGTGACAGAGTGAGACTCCCTCGCAAAAAAAAAAGAACTACCTATGCATGTTCGTCAAAAGACATGGATAAGGATGTTCATGACAGCATTCTTCATTATAGCCCCAAACTGGAAACAATTCCAATATTCACAAATTACGGTATCTGACTATAATGGAACACTGTACAGCGAATGAATAAATGAATTTTGCCACATGACTTGGGTGAATCTCACAAACGAAATAATGAGAGAAAGCAACAAATCACAGAGAAGGACAGACTGAATAACCTCAAATTAAAAACAGATTATACTGTTACAGTTTGTTTGTTAGTTTGTTTGTTTTGAGACAGAGTCTCGCTCTGTCGCCCAGGCTGGAGTGCGTTGGCAGGATCTCAGCTCACTGCAAGCTCTGCCTCCCGAGTTCACGCCATTCTCCTGCCTCAGCCTCCCAAATAGCTGGGACTGCAGGTGCCCGCCACCACGCCGGGCTAATTTTTTGTATTTTTAGTAGAGACAGGGTTTCATCATGTTAGCCAGGATGGTCTCGATCTCCTGACCTCGTGATCTGCGCACCTCGGCTTCCCAAAGTACTGGGATTACAGGCGTGAGCCACCACGCCCGGCCTAAATTCTGTTAGAAGTCAGGAAATCCCAGCATTTTCAGAGGCCAAGGCTAGAGGATCGCTTGAGCTCAAGAGCTCGAGACCAGCCTGGGCAACATGGAGAAACCCCATCTCTAATGAAAATACAAACATTAGCCAGGTGTGGTGGCAGGCGCCTGTAATCACAGCTACTCGGGAGGCTGAGGTAGGAGAATCTCTTGAACCCAGGAGGCTTCAAGGTTGCAGTGAGCTGAGATCACGTCATTGCACTCCAGCCTGAGCAACAAGAGTGAAACTCCATCTCAAAAAAACAAGCATGACAAGGGAGTTAAAAATGCAGTCACCGTAGACTTCTTCCAATCATATATTTTATATTACATCATCCATTTACAATTTACAAAAAACTAGAGGTACTTGGAGGCAGCTACTTGGGAGGCTGAGGCAGGAAGATGGCTTCAGCCCAGGAGTCTGAAGCTGCAGTGAGCTACGATGGCGCCACTGCAGTCCAGCCTGGGTGACACAGCAAGTCCCTGTCTCAAAAAAAAATTAAAAATGATAGTATAAGAGACTTTGTTTCATGTCAAAAAAAAAAGCTTACCTTGGAAAAAATAAGGAAACACATTAGCTGAAAGCTTTAGAAGCTGTTTGTACACAGTATTTTTCTTACCTTCAATATCCAGCAGTGGCTGCTGACTGACATTCAGCTTGTTGACATCACTATCAAACATTCCTATCAAAGAGGTCTTTAAAACTGCCAACAAAAGCTTTTCCTCTTGTAGTAAAATTTGCCTTTTATCTGGAGTAACATTGATATCAACACATTCTAAAGAAAAAAAGAAAACACACTTATTATGTTTAAATTCACTTTTATTTATTAATTATTATTTTCAGACAGGATCTCACTCTGTCGCCTAGGCTGGAGTGCAGTGGCGCGATCTCAGCTCACTGCAACCTCTGCCTCCTGGGTTCACGTGATTCTCCCGGCCTCAGCCTCTGAAGTAGCTGGGATTACAGGTGAGTGCCACCACACTGGTTAATTTTTGTATTTTTAGTAGAGACGGGGTTTCACCATTTTGGCCAGGCTGGTCTCGAACTCCTGACCTCAAGTGATCCACCCAGTTTGGCCTCCCAAGGTTCTGGGATTACAGGCATCAGCCACTGTGCCCAGCCAAATTCACTTTTAACAATAGAAATTTCCCCATCTATTATTTCATTCACTTGTATTTATCACAAGTACTATGAAAAAAATACAGTGTCCAGGTTAATATTCATAAATTATGAAATCATTTCTCATGCTGGCCACAGTGGCTCATGCCTGCAATCCCAGAACTTTGGGAGGCCGAGGCGGGTGGATCACGAGGTCAGGAGTTTGAGACCATCCTGGTCAAGATGGTGAAATCCCATCTCTACTAAAAATACAAAAATTAGCTGGGCGTTGTGGCGCATGCCTGTAGTCCCAGCTACTTGGGAAGCTGAAGCAGGAGAATCGCTTGAACCCGGGAGGCAGAGGTTGCAGTGGGCCGACATCGTGCCATTGCACCCCAGACTTGGCGACAAGAGCAAAACTCCATCTCTCAAATAAATGAGCAAAAGACAATTTTTGAATAGACACAATATAGAAGGGCTTGAAAAGCTGAATTGTTAAAGGAAAAGCAAATAAACACATAAAAATAATTTTAAATATGCAAACTAAAATAAGGTATTTTAATCCCCTACTGAATTTAGCTTAACCATTATAATACCTAATACATTATAGGTAGATGTGTAAATTGGTACATCTAGAATGCAATATAGAAAAAGCCTTAAAATGATCATATTCACGGACCCAGTAATTCTACTCCTAGCAACTTATCTTAAGAATAATTAAAGGTGTAGGCTAAGCGCAGTGGCTCATGCCCTGTAATCCCAGTACTTTGGGAGGCTGAGGCGAATAGATAAGTTAAGGTAAGGAGTTCAAGATCAGCCCGGCCAACATGGCAAAACCCCGTCTCTACTAAAAATACAAAAAAATTAGTCAGGCGTGGTGGCGGGCGCCTGTAATCCCTGCTACTCAGGAGGCGCAGGTGGGAGAATCACTTGAACTCAGGAAGTGGAGGTTGCAGTGAGCTGAGATTATACCGCTGCACTCCAGCCTGGGAGACACAGCAAGACTCTGTCTCAAAAAAAATACAATAATAAAGATGCAGATAATGATTTAATTATAAGGAAAGTATTTGTAATTTCCAAAAACTAAAAACAACTTAAATTTTGAAAAATTTAAAAATTAAAATACCAAACTATAACCATGCATTGGAATATAATTCACTTATTAAAATCACATTTCTGATTAAGTTTTAATAATATGGAAGAGAAAACATTCAAATCTAAGGATAAAGCACAGTATACAAAGTTATTTTCTCATTCCAAAGAATATGGGAGTAGGGGAGAGAGAAAGAAAGAGAAAGAGGAGAGAAGATATTTTTTAAGGTATGTACATATGTATTTCTAAGTATCTAGAAAAAATACTCAATGACAATAAACCAAAATTTTAACAATCAGAAAAAAAATCTATATGAAATGAATTATTTGTGAAATTAGGAAGAACATTTAGTCTACTTTCTCCCTTCGTTGGCATTAAAAAAAATTACATCTTCCTAATAATACAATTAACATAGTCTCAAGTAGAAAGCGGGAACTCTGTTTAAGAAAAACAAAATTACGGGGTCAGGAACGGTGGCTCATGCCTATAATCCCAGCACTTTGGGAAGCCAAGACAGGCAGATCACAAGGTCAGGAGATCGAGACCATCCTGGCTAACACAATGAAACCCCATCTCTACTAAAAATAAAAAAAATTAACCAGGTGTGGTGGCACACACCTGTAGTCCCAGCTACTTGGGGGGCTGATGCAGGAGAATTGCTTGAACCCGGGAGGCAGAGCTTGCAGTGAGCCGAGACTGTGCCACTGCACTCCAGCCTGGGCGACAGATCAAGACCCCGTCTCAAAAAAGAAAAAAAAAGAAAACCAAAAACTTACATGACTATAAATTGTTATCTCATTCCGGTCAGAACAGAGCTATATAATTTCATTGTATTCTTTGAGGCATTAGTCACTAGTTGTACTGAAATGCCAATGGAACTTACCTGAATCAACAGAAATGTTAAGAACAACAAATGGATACTGATGTCGATTATACATGTGGTAGACCTCGTTCACAAGTCTGGAGACCTGCACAAAATACAAGGAGGAGAAAAGAATATATGACAAATGTTCCCGGCCCCCCCACATTCTAACAACACACTATTCTAACCAACCAGCATGTTCTTAGAAGGGAATTTTTTTTGTTTTAATGAGACAAGGTCTCGCCTTGTCACAGGCTGGAGTGCAGTGGAGCAATCATGGCTCACTGCAGCCTCAACCTCCCAGGCTCAAGTCGTCTTCCTGCCTCAGCCTGCCATGTAGCTTGGACTACAGGCAGGATTTCTTTTTTCTTTTTTTTTTTTTTTTTGAGATGGGGTCTCACTCTTGTTACCCAGACTGGAGTGCAATGGCGCGATCTTGGCTCACTGCAACCTTCACCTCCAGGGCTCAAGTGATTATCCTGCCTCAGCCTCCAGAGTAGCTGGGATTACAGGCACACGCCACCACAACCAGATAATTTTTGTGTTTTTAGTAGAGACGGGGTTTCACCACTTTGGCCAGGCTGGTCTCGAACTCCTGACCTCAGTTGATCTGCCTGCCTCGGCCTCCCAAAGTGCTAGGATTATAGGCGTGAGCCACTACACCTGGCCTAAGAATACATTTTTTAATAGCTTTACTGAGATATGACTAACATGGAATAAACTATACATATTTAAAGTGTGCAATTTCACAAATTTTGACATATACACAAACACCTGTGAAACTATCCCCACAATCAAGATAATGAATATATCCATCACCAAAAATTTCCTCACAACTCATGAAGTGATATTTCACTAATCATAGATCCCTAAAACTGAATTTTTCCAACCTAAAGTTGCTCTACGAGAAATTCTAGTGAAATGTGGGCACAGCTGAAATATTCATAAAACACATTCAACATACATAGAAACGTATTTATGGCATTAAAATGTCATTAGAAATAAACCAAAATATCACATTAATTATTAATAGTGACAATTAATAATTATGAATCCATCACACTACAGGTTAAAAAATTTAGAAGATCAACCACATCTGGCAGATTACAAGCAAACTCTAAAGCATCACTGAAATACAGGGACCGGGAGTGGTGGCTCACGCCTGTAATCCCAACACTTTGGGAGGCCAAGGCAGGTGGACTGCCTGAGCTCAGGAGTTCTCGACCAGCCCAGGCAACACAGCGAAACCCCATCTTTACTCAAATACAAAAAATTAGCCGGGCATGGCAGCATGCACCTGTAATCCCAGCTACTCGGGAGGCTGAGGCAGGAGAATTGTTTGAACCTGGGAGGTGGAGGGTGCAGTGAGCCGAGATCACGTCACTGCACTCCGGCCTGGGCGACAGAGCGAGACTCCATCTCAAAAAAAATAAAAAGAGAAAAAGAGAAACAAAAAATATTACTGAGGTACAATGTTGTGCTGTAATCATATCAAGATGATCTGTTTAAATTTGAGGCAGAAGCAATCTGAACCCTTATTTTCCTAGGAAAATAGAAAGAAGGAAGAGAAAATATAGAAATCTGTAGAAAATATAGAAACCATGTAATCAGTTTATACTGAAAGGTGACACAGAATGTTATAAAATGTTTAGTTTCTTCAAATAGTTTTAGTTTTTACAATAATAAATATACTGGTGATTAATATGTGTTTATATATGTATGTATATGTACACACAACGTATATAACGTACATATTCACATACAAACACACTCACGTATATGCAATTTAAACAACTATACACAGAGGCCAGGCGCGGTGGCTCATGCCTGTAATCCCAGCACTTTGGGGGACCAAGGCGGGCGGATCACGAGGTCAGGAGTTCAAGACCATCCCGGCCACATGGTGAAATTCTGTCTCTACTAAAGATACAAAAAATTAGCCAGGCGTGGTGGCGCAGGCCTGTAATCCCAGCTACCTGGGAGTCTGAGGCAGCAGAATCGCTTGAACCCAGGAGGTGGAGGTTGCAGTGAGCCAAGATTGCGCCACTGCACTCCAGCCTGGGCGACAGGGCGAGACTCTGCCTCAAAAAAAACCCAAAAAACAACAACAAAAAAACTGTACACAGATAGATACGCTCCTTGACTTATGATAGGGTTATGTCCTGATAAACCCATAAGTTGAAAATATTGTATGTCAAAAATGCCTTTGTGATAACCTAACCTACTGAATGTCCTATCTCAGCCTTGCCTCAGAATACTTACATTAGTCTATAGGCAAAATAACACAATATCTATTTTATAATAAAATGTTGAGTATCTTCTGTAATTTATTGAATACTATACCGAAAAACAATGGTTCCATAGGTACTTGAAGGATGGTATCTACTGCAAAAATAACTTCTGCAACAAGGTAAAGTAGTAGAAAAATTTTTTTTTTTTGGCTAGGCGCGGTGGCTCATGCCTGTAATCCCAGCACTTTTGGAGGCCGAGGCGGGCGGATCACAAGGTCAGGAAATCGAGACCTTCTTGGCTAACATGGTGAAACCCCATCTCTACTAAAAATACGAAAAATTAGCCAGGCGAGGTGGTGGGCGCCTGTGGTCCCAGCTACTCAGGAGACTGAGGCAGGAGAATGGCGTGAACCCGGGAGGCGGAGCTTGCAGTGAGCCAAGATCGCACCAGAGTGACAGAGTGAGACTCCACCTCAAAAAAAAAAGAAAAAGAATTTTTTTTTGAGACACAGTCTCACTCTGTCACCCAGGCTGCAGTGCAGTGGCACAATCTCGGCTCACTGCAACCTCCATCTCCCATGTTCAAGCAATCCTCCTGCCTCAGCCTCCCATGTAGCTGAGATTACAGGCATGTGGCACCAGGCCTGGCTATCTTTTGTATTTTAGTAGAGACGGGGTTTTGTCATGTTGGCCAGGCTGGTCTCGAACTCCTGGCCTCAAGCAATCCACCTGCCTTGGCCTTCCAAAGTGCTGGGATTACAGGCATGAGCCACTGTTCCCGGCCAGAAAAATCTTCAGTTGAAACATCTTTTTTTTTTTTTTTTTAGTTGAAATATCTTTTTTTTTTTTTTTTTTTTTTTGAGACGGAGTCTCGCTCTGTCACCCAGGCTGGAGTGCAGTGGCCGGATTTCAGCTCACTGCAAGCTCCGCCTCCCGGGTTCACGCCATTCTCCTGCCTCAGCCTCCGGAGTAGCTGGGACTACAGGCGCCCGCCACCTCGCCCGGCTAGTTTTTTGTATTTTTTAGTAGAGACGGGGTTTCGCCGGGTTAGCCAGGATGGTCTCGATCTCCTGACCTTGTGATCCGCCCGTCTCGGCCTCCCAAAGTGCTGGGATTACAGGCTTGAGCCACCGCGCCCGGCCTTGAAATATCTTAAGTTGGGGGCCATCTGCAGTAGAATTCTGTAAATGCCCAAAATTAGTTAATGTTAAAGCCATGTTTCTCAAAGTCCCGAGTTCCATGTAAACTGCCTATTATCAGAAAAAAAGTTATCCATTAAAAGTCAAAGGCATAAAGAATAAACTAATACAAAAAAATTGTAAATACCTTTGCTGGGTCACAAGGCCGCCGGTTGATAAAGAAAAACTGTCTGTCTGTTGAACTCCTTCCAACTCCATGCGCGCATTGTGAAATGAAACCTGAGATGCTATTCAACATTAATATGGTGAGGACAGGATTCCAGAGTGAAAAGGATTAGAAATACGATCACATGGCAAATTCTTTTTTTTTTTTTTTTTTTTTTTTGAGATGGAGTTTCACTCTTATTGCCCAGGCTGGAGTGCAATGGCACGATCTCGGCTCACTGCAACCTCCATCTCCCAGGTTCAAGCGATTCTCCTGCCTCAGCCTCCCCAGTAGCTGCGATTACAGGCATGCACCACCACGCCTGGCTGACTTTTTTTGTATATTTAGTAGAGATGGTGTTTCACCATGTTGGTCAGGCTGGTTTTGAACTTGTGACCTTGTTATCCGCCCGCCTCGGCCTCCCAAAGTGCTGGGATTACAGGCATGAGCCACCACGCCCGGCCAACATGGCACATTCTTAAAGTGAAATGAAAACAAAACCCCAGGTGACGTGCTGATAAGTATCACTATTGCAGTGCATGGGTATCTGTGCTCCAAATCTTGATGAGTCATCAAAGAACCAGACCTTCTGGAATGCTCTGAAGCTCCTACAGTCAAGCAATGCACCACAGGCGATGCAGTGGGTCCAACACTGATGTGTTGCAGCTCTCCTTATCCTTCCTGATAAATCCTCCGTAAGAGGAGTGGGTCTCGCTTCACATGCATTCTCAGAACCTCCGTACTGCCGCTCCTGGTTTGTCAATGAAGTCTAACCACTTGTGCTCAGGATTCTGCCCACATTCCCTCCCCTTTCACAATCTCCCGGCTAGGAAGCTTGTATCTCACATCTTAGTAAAGCGCTTGCTTCACATGAGACCCACCCCGGGGACACCGGCGTTTCCGGAAGAACACCACCTTCACACGAAGACACGAAGCTCCGTGTTTACAAGCTCAGGCATAGGCCAAAAGCAAGTGGACGAGGAATAAGAAATATAGATCTAAACGCAAAAAACCAAACAAAAAGAAATACAGATCTTAGGCTGGGTGTGGTGGCTCATGCCTGAAATCCCAGAGCCTTGAGAGGCCAAGGGGGGGCGGATCACCTGAGGTCAGGAGTTCAAGACCAGCCTGAGCAACAAGGTAAAACCCCGTCTCCACTAAAAATACAAAAAATCAGCCAGGCCTGGTAGCCCCAGCTTCTCAGGAGGCTGAGGCAGGAGTATCGCTTGCACCCGGGAGGCAGAGGTTGCAGTGAGCCAAGATCACGGCACTGACCTCCAGCCTAGGCAACAGAGCGAGACTCCATCTCAAAAAAAAAAACCCCCAACATATATATATAATATACAATATACAATATATAATATATATTATATACAATATATAGTATGTTGTATACTATATATTATACACAATATATAATATATATAACATATAGTATATATTATATATATTTTATAAATATATATTTTATATATATTATATATAGAGAGAGACAGAGGGAGAAAGACAGAGAGATCTTTACAGGACCAATCCCATTTATGGAAGTGTCTATTTTCTTCTTCTTTTTTTTTTTTTGAGACTGAGTCTCCCTCTGTCGCTCAGGCTGGAGTGCAGTGGCAAGATCTTGGCTCACAGCAAGCTCTGCCTCCCGGGTTCATGCCATTCTCCTGCCTCAGCCTCCCGAGTAGCTGGGACTACAGGCGCCCGCCATGACACTCAGCTAATTTTTTGTATTTTTAGTAGAGACGGGGTTTCACCATGTTAGCCAGGAAGGTCTCGATCTCCTGACCTTATGATCCGCCCACTTCAGCCTCCCAAAGTGCTGGGATTACAGGCGTGAGCCACCGCGCCTGGCCAGGAAGTGTCTGTTTTCTTACACTAAAACTAATGACACTGAACTGCCTTCATCAGATACCAAAAAAGTTAAAATCATTTAAAATGATACAATAATTTAAAAGTTAGTCTAACTAACCAGAGCCTTAAAGAAGACTAACTCAACAGAAAACCACCTGAAATGTACCAGTTACTGGGAACATGGTTTGAATTAAGTAACTGAGTCCCTTGTATAAATCATCCTTCTTAGCAATAGCACTGCTCACAGTTTTATAAAGGACATAAAAGACTATTATCCCTAGCCAGGCGTGGTGGCTCATGCCTGTAATCCCAGCACTTTGGGATGCCAAGGTGGGCGGATCATCTGAGGTCAGGAGTTTGAGACCAGCCTGGTCAACATGGTGAAACCTCGTCTCTACTGAAAATACAAAATTAGCCAGGCGTGGTGGTGCACGCTGTAGTCCCAGCTACTCAGGAGGCTGAGGCGGGAGAATTGCTTGAACTCAGGAGGCAGAGGTTGCAGTGAACCGAGACAGCGCCATCACACTCCAGCCTGGGCAACAGAGTGAGACTCTGTCTCTAAAAAAAAAGAAAAAAAAAATCCATGAAACTATTAGCCCTAAAATCACTATCTTAAAAAAAAAAAAAAAAAAAAACCTCTCAGGATAAAATGTTCACTTGTAGTTCTCTTGCCAGCAATACTTACTAAAAAAGATTATGCAGAGCATCCGAACAGCTCAGACCATACTCTTCACACACGGAGTCACTAGGGGGCACCTGAACAAAAGGAATGAGGCTTTGCACCTAAAAAAAAAAAAAAAAATTCACAGTTACTACAGTTACTTCCTAATAAAGACAGAGTGGACTTATCTGTTTTCTTTCTTAGTCAAGCTATCCGCACTACAAGCACAAAAACATTAAAAGAATCTTTTTTTTTGTTTTGGTTTTTGAGACAGGGTCTCTCCCTCTATTGCTCAGGCTGGAGTGCAATGGTTCAGTCCTACCTCACTGCAGCGTCAAACTCGTGGGTTCAAGCCATTCTCCTGCCTAGCTGCCCGAGTGAGCAGCTGGGACTACATGTGCACATCACCACACCTGGCTAATTTTTTTATTTTTTTGTAGAGATGGGATCTTGCCGTGTTATCCAGGCTGGTCTTAAATTCCTGGGCTCAAGCGATTCTCCCACCTCAGAATTGTTGGCCGGGCGGTTCAAACACATAATCCCAACCATTTCTTCTCCTGAAGTGCTGGGATTACATGTGTGAGCCATCGGGACAACACTTTTGATTTTATTTTATTTTTTTTTATTTTTTTTTTTTTTGAGACGGAGTCTTGCTGTGTCGCCCAGGCTGGAGTGCAGTGGCCGGATCTCAGCTCATTGCAAGCTCCGCCTCCCGGGTTTTTACGCCATTCTCCTGCCTCAGCCTCCCGAGTAGCTGGGACTACAGGCGCCCACCACCTCGCCCGGCTAGTTTTTTGTATTTTTTAGTAGAGACGGGGTTTCACTGTGTTAGCCAGGATGGTCTCGAACTCCTGACGTCGTGATCCGCCCGTCTCGGCCTCCCAAAGTGCTGGAATTACAGGCTTGAGCCACCGCGCCCGGCCCACTTTTGATTTTATGATACAAGAAAGACGAAACAAGTGGCTACTTATTCATAACCCACACACTGCCCACAATAACTTACATTTTTTTCAGAGAGACAGTGAAAGGATACAGTATATGAGAGTCTCTGGAAGAATAAAATGGAACACATTCAGCTCTTAAACATTAATTTTGTGATAGATACTTTTTTTTTTTTTAAGACGGTGTCTCGCTTTGTGGCTCAGGCTGCAGTGCAGTGGTGCAATCTCAGCTCACTGCAACCTCCATCTCCTGGGTTCCAGCAATTCTCCTGCCTCAGCCTCCCGAGTAGCTGGGACTACAGGCGCCCGCCACCATGCCCAGATAATTTTTGTATTTTTAGTAGAGACAGGGTTTCACCATATTGGCCAGGCTGGTCTCAAACTCCTGACCTCATCATCTGCCCACCCTGGCCTCCCAAAGTGCTGGGATTACAGACGTGAGCCACTGCGCTGGTAGGCGCTTTAAAGATCGATTCTTAGTATGGGCGCAGTGGCTCACGTCTGTAATCCTAGCACTTTGGGAGGCTGAGGCAAGCTGATCACTGGAGGTCAGGAGTTCGAGACCAGTCTGGCCAACAAGATGAAACCACGTCTCTACTAAAAATACAAAAAATTAGCTGGGCCTGATGGCACGTGCCTGTACTCCCAGCTACTCAGGAGGCTGAGGCAGGAGAATTGCTTGAACCCAGGAGGCAGAGGTTGCAGTGAGCCGAGATCACGCCACTGCATTCCAACCTGCGTGATAGAGCAAGACTCCATCTCAAAAAAAAAAAAAAAATCGACGGGCGCAGTGGCTCACACCTGTAATCCCAATACTTTGGGAGGCCGAGGTGGGTGGATCATGAGGTCAGGAGTTCAAGACCAGCCTGGCCAACATGGTGAAACCCCGTCTCTACTAAAGATACAAAAAATTAGCTGGGCGTGGTGTCACGCGCCTGTAATCCCAGCTACTCGGGAGGCTGAGGCAGGAGAATTGCTTGACCCTGGGAGGCGGAGGTTGCAGTGAGCCCAGAGAGCACCACTGCACTCCAGCCTGGGTGACAGGGCGAGACTCTGTCTCAAAACAAAAAAATAAATTCTTAGATTTTATTCTCCATTCTACTGGAAGAGACAATGGAAACCTGCCATAATATCTAGAGCAATAAGAGGCGTTGAAGTAACCAGCCAACACTACCTGCTTCTGTCCAAACACAGAGCCGATATTTTCCTTTATGCTGGGGCTTCCACCTGTGCACACCACAGGCTGTCGTTTTCCTTGTCCAAGCTGATTGGTGCAACTTACACGGATGCCTGCTGAAATGATACAGTAGGCCTGTAAGACCTGGACCATTTTGGCATATTCCTGTTTAAAAAACACAAACACAATATTCTACGTTACTTTAATATTATAGGAATTACACAGCTCAAGTTATAACATCCAATGCAAGGTTCTCACATCATCGCACAAATCAAGGGAAGCACTGTTGACAGAATGAGCTGTAAAGAGGTATCTTCCTATATTCTACAGAAGAAACGCAGAGCTTTTGGCTCCTGGTCACAGTCCTCTCACTTCCCAATGTGCCATGTGTCCTGGTAAAAGTACAGCCTGCAATCCCGGCTGCTCAGGAGGCTGAGGGCAGGAGGATCACTTGAGACCAGGAGTTCAGGACCAGCCTGGGCAACACAGCAAGACCCTGTCTCTACAAAAAATTAAAAAAAAAAAAATTAGCCGGGCGTCGTGGCATGCGCCTGTAGTCACAGTTACTCAGGAGGCTGAGGTGGGAGGATCACTTGAGCCCAGGAGTTCGAGGCTGCCGTGAGCCATGATTGCACCACTGCACTCCAGCCTGGCTGACAGAGAGAGGTCCTATCTCTAAAAATGAAAATTTAAAAACTGAAACGTACATTGTGTTTGATTTTATAATCTCTCCTTTTAAAATGTATCTTTGTATAATAGAAAGACTGGCACAAGCATTTTGATATGCAAAGAGATACACAAAAATGTTCACTGAAACAATCTCTATGAAAAAACAGAAATGACCTAAGCAAGCATCATCAAGGAGTTAGTTAATTAATTATGGTATAGCCATACTGCAGCAGAATGACAAAGCATAAGGCAGTGCACACCGACTAAAGAAGACAATCACAATATGCTAAGTAAAGAGTCAGTTATGGCCGGGCGCGGTGGCTCAAGCCTGTAATCCCAGCACTTTGGGAGGCCGAGATGGGCGGATCACGAGGTCAGGAGATCGAGACCATCCTGGCTAACCCGGTGAAACCCCGTCTCTACTAAAAAATACAAAAAACTAGCCGGGCAAGGTGGCGGGCGCCTGTAGTCCCAGTTACTCGGGAGGCTGAGGCAGGAGAATGCCATAAACCCGGGAGGCGGAGCTTGCAGTGAGCTGAGATCCGGCCACTGCATTCCAGCCTGGGCGACAGAGCGAGACTCCGTCTCAAAAAAAAAAAAAAAAAAAAAAAAGAGTCAGTTATACGGCCAGGCATGATGGTTCACAGCTGTAATCCCAGCACTTTGGGAGGCTGAGGCGGGAGGATCGCTTCAGCCCATGAGTTTGAGACCTGCCTGGGCAACACAGATGGACCCATCTCTACAAAAAATACAAAAATTAGCTGGGCATGGTAGCACGGGCCTGGAGTCCCAGCTACTTGGGAGGCTAAAGTGGGAGGATCCATTAAGCCTGGGAGATCAAGGCTGCAGTAAGCTGAGATTGTGCCACTACATTCTAGCCTGGGTGAGAGAGCAAGACCCTGTCTCAATTTAAAAAAAAAAAAAAGCAAAAAAAACTTTCAACCACATACAATTCTGTATTACTTGCATGCTGTACATTCTGTATTACTTGCTTTCATTATATTAACTTATGAATGTATCTTGAAAATTATTCCAACAGTTACAAACACATGAAATTAAAAGGAGTCTGAAAAGATATACAAACTGTAAGTAATGGTTATCTTTAACAAACGTAAGTTCTACATTCCTGTATTTTGCTAAGGCACTAACTTTTTTACCATAAAATACAAAAAAAGAGTAAGTTTTCTCTATTTTAAAAAATTTCAATTTTGAAAAAATGTAATAAAGTTAAAATTAGCAGCTGAGTGCAGTGGCCTATAATCCCAACATTTTGGGAGGCTGAGGCAGGCAGATCACTTGAGGTCAGGGGTGCAAGACCAGCCTGGCCAACATGGTGAAACCCCATCTCTACTAAAAACACAAAAATTAGCTGGGCGTGGTGGCACACACCTATAATCCCAGCTACTCGGGAGGCTGAGGCAGGAGAATCACTTGAACCCAGGAGGCGGAGGTTGCAGTGAGCCGAGATCACACCACTGCAATCCAGCCTGGGTGACAGAGTGAGAAGACTCCATCTAAAAAAAAAAAAAAAAGTTAAAATTAGCACCAAATGCTTTACAGGTAAAAAAAAGTTTTTAGCTGCATATGTTTAAATAACTTTTTAGATTATAAAAAATACACATACAAAACAGGCACAAAGAAGACAGCAAAAACTGCATGGGATCTCACATCCAAGGATAACCGCTGAGAACATGAAAGTGCTGACTCTTCCAGCCTTTATACTATACACATCTAGGCCTGTTGTTTTGTTTTTATAAAACTGTAATCATGTAATACAGACAGTTTTATAATCTGCTTTTTAAACACAACAATTATATAACATTTAGCTGTTTTCATTTGCATTCAAATTCATAAGGGTTCCAATAACTCGTTTCTCAGAAAACCAAGAGAAATATTCTTTTTTTTTTTTTTTTTTTGAGACGGACTCTGGCTCTGTGCTCAGGCTGGAGTGCAATGGCGTGATCTCAGCTCATTGCAACCTCTACCTCCCAGATTCAAGTGGTTCTCCTGCCTCAGCCTTCCCAGGAGCTAGGACTACAGACGCACGCCACCAGGCCCGGCTAATTTTTGTATTTTTAGTAGAGACAGGGTTTCACCACTTTGGCCAGGATGGTTTCGATCTCTTGACCTCGTGATCTGCCCGCCTCAGCCTCCCAAAGTGCTGGGATTACAGGCATGAGCCACGGCACCTGGCCAAGAAATATTCTTATTAAAATGTAAGTACATAAGGCCAGGCCTGGTGGCTCACGCCTGTAATCCCAGCACTTTGAGAAGCCGAGGTGGGTGGATTACCTGAGGTCAGGAATTCCAGACCAGTCTGGCCGACACGGTGAAACTCCGTCTCTACTAAAAATACAAAAATTAGCCAGGCGTGGTGGCACACGCCTGTAATCCCAGCTACTCAGAAGGCTGAGGCAGGAGAATTGCTTGAACTCGGGAGGTCGAGGTTGTAATGAACCGAGATTGGCCACGGTACTCCAGCCAGGGCACCAACGTGATACTCCATCTCAAAAAAAGATAAAAATAAAAAATAAATATATACGTATATATATTTTTCCAGACAAGGTCTTACTCTGTCTCCCAGTCTGAAGTGCAGGGGTGCAGTCATAGCTCACTGCAGCCTTGAGTTCCTGGGCTCAAGTAATCCTCCCACTTCAGCCTCCCAAGTAGCTAGATACTACAGGTGCATGCCACCATGCCCAGTCAATTTTTTTTTTTTTAATTTTTCATAGAGACAGGGTCTCACTATGTTGCCCAGGCCTAATAAACACTATGTGATGAAAAGAAAAAAGTACATCATCCTAAAGTCTTTAATGTTAAGTCTTTAATGAGAAATGCAAATAAATCATGTCTCAGTAAATTACGGGAAGAGAATCAACAGCAGAATAAACATCTTTAGTAAATCTTTTGCTCACGTGCATTAACCAATACTCTTGAAAACCAGGATTAATTTGCTGTACCTTCTTAATATTCCTTTGAAATTCCTTATGGCGCACAGGTAGTGTAGAAAATAACTGCTGGACGCTGACTGTGGTCCCTCTGGGGCGGGGGTAGGGGGCTTTCTGGATGATTTTTCCATTGTGATCAAACACCAGTCGAGTCCCAACCTTCGCCGATGCGTGGCAGGTGGAAATGGTGACGTCGCTGTGAGAGAATACCAGGCATGGTGTGTTCAGTGAGAGGCCCATGATGTTGGGCACTGACTACTCTTTCCTTTGCTTGCTTTTCCCTCAAAACTTTCCTAAAAAAAGCTGATGATCCCTTTGAGATCATCAAGATCTAAACGGTTGAGGAGTCATCATAAAATCTAAGGTTTGGCATCTAAAAGACAGTGAGACAGAGAGCACTAAACATGCTTTGTTTTGATAAGAGCTTTGATTTTGTTTTTCAGCTTGAACTGCAAAACCGTCAATGATCTCAAGATTCATTTATTCACAAATAGAGATTTGTTTTATTACTCTTCGAACAAATTTTTTTAAAAGAATCTAAAATACATTATAATTAAAATGTATATGTAGGGCAGAGTGCAGTGGCTCATGCCTGTTATTCCAGCACTTTGGGAGGCCGAGGCGGGCAGATCACTTGAGGCCAGGAGTTCGAGACCAGCCTGGGCAACATGGCAAAACCCCATCTCTACTAAAAATACAAAAATTAGCCAGGAGTGGTGGTGCATGCCTATAGTACCAGCTCCTCAGGAGGCTCAGGCACGAGAATCACTTGATCCTGGAAGGCAGAGATTGCAGTGAGCCGAGACTGTGCCACTGCACTCCAGCCTGGGTGACAGAGCAAAACTCTTTCTAAAAAAAACATATATATATATATATATACATACATACACACACACATATATACACATACATATATATATTTGTATATAATTATGAAAATTTAGTATCTGTGGTATAATTAAATAGTGCTTTGGTTAAATGTTTCCCTAAAAACTGATAATGAAAACCAATGGTAACTATCATTTATTATCTATATGTTATGTTAAAATTGAGAAGTTACTGTTTTAATAAGGGTAACCATTTTTTTAAACAATACTATTTGCTTCATTTCATTTATTTATTGCTCACATTTCAGAAGTACTATGACTTAGATTGGCAGCGAGACAAAACAGAATTCAGAAGCTAGAAGTTGAGATGTTGAGATAGAAAATTGTAAAGAATAATGATTCCAATTAATTTTCAGAGAGGTTTTTCTAAGGGGTCAAGTGAATGGATAAAAATATTGTATCACCTCAGTGCACAAAGTGAGCTCAGAGCTTCCCCCCGAAAGCCAAAAGTTTCAACCTGAGTTAGGTCAGCAAACTCTTGAATCTTAGATGTGTGATGTTTCAGAGCTGAAAGACAGTGTAAAGTAAGGATTAAGATATCTCAAGTGCTATAACAACAAATATACATGGTATCTAGTAACTGGCTTTAAAAAACTGCTTTTGCGTTTCCCAAGACAGTGTTACTCACAATGCTGGGACATGTGGCCCAATTATTTTATAATAGGATCAGAAAAAGTCAACTTACTTAAGCCTTCGAAGTTTTCTTCTTCTACCCCACATCCATTGTCTGAAACTTCAATGAGATCCACTCCATAGTCCTTAAGCTTTAGATCTAGAAAGTTTAAAATATTTACATATTTATTAAAAATGGACCCATGCTATAAGTTTTTACATTGACATTATTTATAACATATGCAAATTTAAGAGTCATAACAATACCTTTAGCTACATGTACTAGTATCGTTTTGTGTATTTCATTTTTATAAAGTCCTTTCTGGTTATTTACTAGCCTAGACTAAATAGTTTAGCTTTTTCTTTCTTTCCTCTTTTTTTTTTTTTTTTCCCTAGGCTAGTCAAGTGAAGCAGTTGGAGTGGAAAAGGAACAAAAAAAAAATCTATAACTGGTTGTGATCAATTAGTTGTAAAACCGTTGCACTTTGACCAGCCTTTTCTTTTGAAAGAAATAATTTTAACATACCCAGTAAAGAGAACAGGGGCTGGGCACAGTGGATCATGCCTGTAATCCCAGCACTTTGGGAGGCCAAAGCGAGCAGATCACCTGAGGTCAGGAGTTGGAGACCAGCCTGACCAACATGGAGAAATTCTGTCTCTACTAAAAATACAAAATTAGCCAGGCTTGGTGGTGCATGCCTATAATCCCAGCTACTCGGGAAGCTGAGGCAGGAGAATCGCTTGAACCCAGGAGGCAGAGGTTGCAGTGAGCCGAGATCGTGCCATTGCACTACAGCCTGGGCAACAAGAGCAAAACTCCACCTCCAAAAAAAAAAAGAGAGAATGGGTTCTGGAATCAGACTTCCTGGATCCTATTTTATTAGCTTTATAATCTCAAAAGAAGGAAATTTGCTGTCCCTTAATTTCCTCATCTGTAAAATGGAGATAATAAGTTCTATCTCATAAAGTTATTCTGCAGATTAACTTTTTATGTTTTTTTATTTTATTATTTTCTTTTTCCTTGTCTTTTTTTTTTTTTTTTGAGATGGAGTTTTGCTCATCACCCAGGCTGGAGTACGGTGGCATGATCTTGGCTCACTGCAACCTCCACCTCTCAGGTTCAAGCAATTCTCCTCCCTCAGCCTCCTGAGGAGCTGAGATTACAGCCATGCACCACCACATCTGGCTAATTTTTGTATTTTTAGTAGAGACAGGGTTTCACCATGTTGGTTACACTGGTCTCGAACTCCTGACCTCAAATGATCAGCCCCCCTCAGCCTCCCAAAGTGCTGGGATTACAGATGTGAGCCACTACTCCAGGCCTATTTTATTTTATGTTTTTGAGATGGAGTCTTGCTCTGTCCTCAGGCTGGTGTGCAGTGGCACGATCTCAGCTCACTGCAACCTCCGCCTCCCGGGTTCAAGCAATTCTTGTGCCTCAGTCTCCCAAGTAGCTGGGATTACAGGCTTCTGCCACCAGGTCCAGCTAATTTTTGTATTTTTAGTAGAGACAGTTTCACCACTTCGGACAGGCTGGTCTTGAACTTCTGACCTCAGGTATCCACTCGTCTTGGCCTCCCAAAGTGCTGGGATTACAGGCGTGAGCCACCACGCCCGGCCTACTTTATTTTTTAATAGAGATGAGGTCTCACCATGTTGGCCAGGTTGGTCTTGAACTCTTGGCCTCAAGCAATTCCGCCATCTCAGCCTCTCAAAGGGCTAGGATTACAGGCATGGGACACCACGCCCAGCTATTTTGCATATTAAATATTTCTGTGTAATTCTTAGCATAAAACCTGCCTGGCACACCATAAGAACACAATAAAAGCTGTTACTACTACCTAGCTAAGTACTAGGCACATAATAGGTACTAATTTTAACTTAAAAATAATACTTTATTACTACATCAACACTTGACAGTCGTGTTTCAATAACAAATGTTTCTTGACTACAACATTCATTGATCATTTCTTGTGGCTTAAAACTCTCCCAAACTTACCAATATTAGTGGCACCAGCATCCAGACTGTTTTCTACTAACTCCTTCACTGCAGTGCTTAGACTCAGTACCACCTGCCCAGAGCAAATCTGATGGACTGACTTCCGATCAATAGGTTTGATGGCCTTAGCAGGTTCTGTACTAAAGAAATCAGTTACAAGAAACAAAGCAAATATTCAGCTATATATTTTCATCCTGATTTTCACTGTGGGAAATGACTCAACACTGTAAATAGTTTATGGGTCTAATCTAATCATTTATTATATTAGCAAATACATTTATTATATCCAGAAATAGAAACACTGTTTTACAATCCTTAAACATGTACCCAAAATACTTCTGGATAGATACTTCAAATTCAACACATCCTTACTATCTAATTATACTAGGATCCACATGGAGAAAACATACATTGTATCTCTCAAATTACCAAAATCTTTGGCAACAATGGTGTCTTCTTTCTTGAAAAGTGAAACCATGACTGGCTGCCCTGGCTCATGCCTGTAATCCCAGCACTTTGGGAGGCAGAGGTGGGTGGGTCACTTGAGGTCAGGAGTTCGAGACCAGCCTGGCCAACATGGTGAAATCCCGTCTCTACTAAAAATACAAAAAATTAGGCAGGCATGGTGGTGGGCACCTGTAATCCCAGCTACTCAGGAGGCTGAGGCAGGAGAATCGCTTAAACCCGGGAGGCGGAAGTTGCAGTGAGCCGAGATTGCGGCATTGCACTCCAGCCTGGGCGACAGAGCAAAAAAAAACAAACAAAGTGAAAGCAACATAATTTCCCACATAATTAGAAAAACCAACAGTATGCTGGGAAATACACAATGTTTAAGTCAAAATCATCTCGGAAATTGGGTACCAGTTATATAACGATTCCTTATACACAGTTGCCTTTGATACCCTACTCCAAATTGAAGCTGCCAGCTGCTGTCTCAGCAAAGACCCTCAAAGTTCTTGCTGTACGAGCTTTAAGAGTTTTATAACAGTTTCATCTCCCCTCATTCCCTGCTCCAATCCATCCTCCACTCTATCACCAGAGCTATTTTTGAAATCACAGATCTGGTCAAATAATTTTTCTGCTTAAAAATTTACAAGTGGGCCGGGCGCGGTGGCTCAAGCCTGTAATCCCAGCACTTTGGGAGGCCGAGACGGGCGGATCACGAGGTCAGGAGATCAAGACCATCCTGGCTAACACGGTGAAACCCCGTCTCTACTAAAAAACACAAAAAACTAGCCGGGCGAGGTGGCGGGCGCCTGTACTCCCAGCTACACAGGAGGCTGAGGCAGGAGAATGGCGTAAACCCGGGAGGCGGAACTTGCAGTGAGCCAAGATCCGGCCACTGCACTCCAGCCCGGGCGACAGAGCCAGACTCCGTCTCAAAAAAAAAAAAAAAAAAATTTACAAGTGCCCCACTTCCTACTATACGAAATTTAAAATCTAGTCCTCACTGCGCCCAAAACTACCTTCTTTTCAGAATCTCTCTAATCCTTTCCCTTCATCAAGTCCCCTACATTATTATTATTATTATTATTATTTGAGACAGAGTCTCACTCTGTCACCCAGGCTGGGGTGCAATGGCATGATCTTAGCTCACTGCAACCTCCGTCTCCCAGGTTCAAGCAATTCTCCTGTCTCAGCCTCCCAAGTAGCTGGGATTACAGGCGCCCACCATCACACCCGGCTAATTTTTGTGTTTTTAGTAGAAACCGGGTTTCACCATGTTGGCCAGGCTGGTCTTGAACTCCTGACCTCAGGTGATCCGCTTGCCTCAGCCTCCCAAAGTGCTAGGATTACAGGCGTGAGCCACCGCAACCGGCCGTGCCCTACATTGTACCACACTGAACAATTACTTCCTGAACATCACAAGCTCTTTTAGACACTACAGTGTATAAGCAGGTCTCTGTCTAAACTGCTCTCCTCTTCCTCCTCTGCCCAACCAATGTCTGCTCATCCAAAGAATGTATCCTGTGTGTTCACTAACTTAGCAATTTCCAGTAAACAGTTTGATAACTTGTTAAGAGAAGGCAGGAAACCTCCATGAAAGAGAAATCACTGGGTATTTCCTACAGCATTTAACACATGGTAGGCCTTCAATAAACCCTTGTGAAATAAACAAACCTCTTTACTCTTCATTCTACCCTGCTAAGAATCTCACCCAAGTCTGTCTACCATGTGAAACTGCAGATGACCCCACAGAAATTGGAAAGTATCTCTAAAAATAAGTTTATTTGGCAACACACTATAGGCTACAGGTCCACTTTTTCTTTTTTTTGAGACGGAGTCTTGCTGTGTCGCCCAGGCAGTACTGCAGTGGTGCAATCTCAGCTCACTGCAACCTCCGCCTCCTGGGTTCCAGAGATTCTCCTGCCTCAACCTCCCAAGTAGCTAGGATTACAGGCTCCCGCCACCATGCCCGGTTAATTTTTGTATTTTTAGTAGAAACCGTATTTCACCATGTTGGCAAGGCTGGTCATGAACTCCTGACCTCATTGATCCACCCGCCTTGGCCTCCCAAAGTGCTGGGATTACAGGGGTGAGCCACCGCGCCCGGCCCACTTCAGATACTTATTTTGAGGAGAGAGCGCATTTAGATAGAGACCCCAGATTTATTTAAATGTCTCAATACATTTAAATATAGTTAACTAAATATATCTAATATATTTAAATACAGAAAGCAAATTTGCGTTTACAAATCTGACACGGAATGCAACTGTGCTAGCCAAGATTCGATGTAGCTTACCAGCCAGAAATCACATACCCTAATAGGCAGAAATCACATACTCTAAAAGGTAGAAATGCATTGCATTTTTTAAAACTGCGCGGCTATGCAAATTAGGATGTGTCTGGACGCTCTACCGTCCCCAAAATAACCTCAATTTTTTAAAAAGGCCAGGCACAGTGCATCACTCCTGTAATTCCAGCACTTTTGGGTGCCGAGGCGGGCGGATTGCTTGAGCTGAGGAGTTCAAGACCAGCCCTGGGTAACATAGCGAAATCCCCGTCTCTACAAAAAAAAAATTAAAAATTAAATAATACAAAAATAAAAATAAAAGTGGAGAGAGAACAGGTAGAAAGAAAATGCATTCAGTCTATGCGGATTTCACGCTCCGGCTTCAAGTCCACGGCCCTGTGATGGGATGTGGGCAAAGCCTGTCTGGGACGGGCCAAACCCAACTCCTTACAGGGCCGAATCCTTTGCCCGCAGCCCAGGACCCCGAAGGAGCTTGCCTCGGCCTCAAGGCGCACCCAAGGGGCACCGGATCGCTCGGGCGCTGAGGTCGCTGCTCCGGGGCCTCCACGCGGCGGCTTCGCCACGCGCCTCGGCCATGTTTCCCGCATTTCCAGGGAGGCTGGAACGCCGTGGGTGTCAAAGAGGGCGCGCGAGAGGAGAGACCGCGAGCCCGGCTCACCTCGAGCTCTCAGCTAGCTCCATGGATGCAACCCCGGTTGCGCCTCGGGACTGGGAAAGTTCCCTCCACGGCTCCCACAGGCGCTCCGCCTCCGGGGCTCCCATTGGCTGCTTTCGACGTTGTGCTCCACCCTTTCCGGGCGGGGCGGCAAAAATACTTCCCGTCTCTCCTTTTCGCCTATTGGCTCTGTCAAAGGTCGAGTCCATGACGTCAAAAAGCCTGGGTCAATCAGAGCACACCAGACTGCGTTTTCCCGATCGCCCGCAGCAGGGTCAGAAGGGAGGTGGCCGCCCTCCGTCGTGGCCTCTGACGGTTTTTGAGCGTTGGTGTCTGGCACGCGCTAGCCCCTCTTGCTTTGGTTCCGCCATGCCGATGTACCAGGTAAAGCCCTATCACGGGGGTGGCGCGCCTCTCCGTGTGGAGCTTCCCACCTGCATGTACCGGCTCCCCAACGTGCACTGCAGGAGCGGCGGCCCAGCGCCCGGCGCTGGCCACGTGCAGGTAGGAGCGCGGGGTCCCCCGCCCAGTGCGCACGCGCGGCGGCCGGCTGCCGGACCGGGTCCCCACAGGCCGGAGCGAATGCATCCCACCCGCTTCACGGCCCCACCCCGCTTCTGTGCCGGCCAGCCAGGGACTCACCCAAACTTTTCTCTTTTAAAGGATTTATCCAGGCCGGGCGCTGTGGCTCACGCCTGTAATCCCAGCACTTTGGGAGGCCGAGGCTGGCGGATCACCTGAGGTTAGGAGTTCGAGACCAGCCTGGCCAACATGGTGAAACCTCGGCTCTACTGAAAATACAAAAATCAGCCGGGTGTGGTGGCAGGCGCCTGTAATCCCAGCTACTCGGGAGGCTGAGGCAGGAGAATCGTTTGAACCCTGGAGGCGGGGTTTGCAGTGAGCTGAGATCGAGCCATTGCACTCGAGCCTGGGCAACAAAAGCGAAACTGTCTCAAAAAAAGAAAATATATATATATATATGTATATATCTTTCCAGGTCGCGCGCGGTGGTTCATGCCTGGAATCTCAGCGCTTTGGGAGACCAAGGTGGGAGAATCGCTTGAGCCCCAAGAGTTTGAGACCAGCCTGAGCAACATGGCGAGACCCTTGTCTCTATTTTTTAAATGTTTTAATTAGGCCGGGCGCGGTGGCTCAAGCCTGTAATCCCAGCACTTTGGGAGGCCGAGACGGGCGGATCACGAGGTCAGCAGATCGAGACCATCCTGGCTAACACGGTGAAACCCCGTCTGTACTAAAAACTACAAAAAACTAGCCAGGTGAGGTGGCGGGCACCTGTAGTCCTAGCTACTCGGGAGGCTGAGGCAGGAGAATGGCGTGAACCCAGGAGGCGGAGCTTGCAGTGAGCTGAGATTGCACCACTGCACTCCAGCCTGGGCGACAGAGCGAGACTCCGTCTCAAAAAATTTTTTTTAAAAATTAAATGTTTTGGCCGGGCTTGGTGGCTCAAGCCTGTAATCCCAGCACTTTGGGAGGCCGAGATGGGCGGATCACAAGGTCAGGAGATCGAGACCATCCTGGCTAACACGGTGAAACCCCGTCTCTACTAAAAAAATACAAAAAACTAGCCGGGCGCGGTGGCGGGCGCCTGTAGTCCCAGCTACTCGGGAGGCTGAGGCAGGAGAATGGCGTGAACCCGGGAGGCGGAGCTTGCAGTGAGCTGAGATCCAGCCACTGCACTCCAGCCTGGGCGACAGAGCCAGACTCCGCCTCAAAAAAAAAAAAAAAAAAAAAAAATTAAATGTTTTAATTAAAATAAAAATCTGTCCTTTTTATATATATATATATGGTTGCTTAAACATTTTAGTTCAGAGATTCTACCTTCTGAAAAGTGAATAGCACATAAATGCTCATTTTCAGGAATTACAAAGCGAACCCCAGGGTCACGACGGCCCAGGTTGACACACATTGTCACCCCTCCATTCTTTCCACTTCAACCTTCCCTCCCCACCCCCAACCCCAGGTCTTGATTTTTTATGGTAATTATGTCCTGCTTGTCTCTCTTATTTTGTCAACTCAGTATTTATCCCTAAACAATATAGTCTGGTTTTTTGGGTTTTTTTTGTTTTTTTCAGACAGAGTCTTGCTCTGTCGCCCAGGCTGGAGTGCAGTAGTGTGATCTCAGCTCACTGCAACCCCTGCCTCCCAGGTTCAAGCAATTCTCCCGCCTCAGCCTCCTGAGTAGCTGAGATTACAGGCACCATCCACTGGACCCGGCTAATTTTTGTATTTTTAGTAGAGACGGGGTTTCACCATGTTGGCCAGGCTGGTCTCGAACTCCTGACCTCAAGTGATCCACCCGCCTCAATCTCCCAAAGTGCTGGGATTACAGGCGTGAGCCACTGCACCTGGCCCCTAAACAATTGATATATATATATATATATATATATATATAAGCATACAGCATATAATCTGATGTGTCTGGCTTTTTTTTTTTTTTTTAATGTAGAGATGGGATCTCACCCTATCTCTACCTAAAAGGTGGTTATCAAGAACGGAGGTGGGCCGGGCGCGGTGGCTCACGCCTGTAATCCCAGCACTTTGGGAGGCCGAGACAGGCGGATCATGAGGTCAGGAGATCGAGACCATCCTGGCTAACCCGGTGAAACCCCGTCTCTACTAAAAAATACAAAAAAACTAGCCGGGCGAGGTGGCGGGCGCCTGTAGTCCCAGCTACTCCGGAGGCTGAGGCAGGAGAATGGCGTGAACCCGGGAGGCAGAGCTTGCAGTGAGCTGAGATCCGGCCACTGCACTCCAGCCTGGGTGACAGAGCCAGACTCCGTCTCAAAAAAAAAAAAAGAACGGAGGTGGTCTCCATCTCCTGGCCTCAAGTGATCCTCTAACCCCAGCCTCCCAAAGTGCTGGGATTACAAACATGAGCCACTGGTGCCCAGCCCTGGCTTCTTTTTTGTAGACATTATTTTAGGAGTCATTTTATTGTAACATCGGAAGTATTCTTCTTCTCTGTAGTATACTGTTCTATTGCATGGCTCTCCACCATATACTTATCCATCCTACTTGCTCAGGGACACTGGATTGTTTTCCATTTTAACCTGCTATGAACAATTCTGTAGTGAATATTCTTATACAGAGCAGCAGGCATGGGGTATGTACTAATGAACAGGACTCCTGGCTCAGTGGCCCACCTGGCTTTCCACTCTACTAAATTGTTTTCCAGAGTTGTTATACTGTTTTACACGCTTGCTCACCACCCACCGGCTGGGTAGAAGAATTCCTGATATTTGCACCCTGCCCAAAACTGGTGGGTGTAGCGTGGTATCCTAGGGTAGTTTTAGTTTGGATTTCTCCAGACTTCTCTAAGTTGAGGACCTTTTCCTATTCACTGGCCGCTGTGGTTGCTCTTTTGTAATGTACCTGCTCAAGTCTTTCACTCTTTTCTCATTGCAAACATACATCCTAGGTTTCCAGCAGGAGAAACAGACCTGTCCATTCTGACACAAGATGGGTGAATCGGTAACTTTTTTGGTCTGTTTTCCCACTGCTTGTTATCCTTCTGCTTTCTTTAATGGCTTTCTGCCTAGATCAGGAGGGACGGACTTTCTTTTGAAACCCAGTAACACAACGTGTTATTTCAGTACAGAGCTGAGACAGAAATAGCAGACATGGTTCAATGGTCCCTGCACCTAGAGAGTGCCATGGAAACAGGGCCCAGTCACCTTCCACCTACACAGTCCCATGAAACCAGAAAGACAACCCAGGTTGGAGAATGTCACCTTTCATTGAAGGCCAAGTTTTGCAGAGTCTGTTTTACTTGTATTTAAGTCTGCTGCCTAACTTCTTGTGGCCTTTTGTGAACTTACAACTTAGAGGACACGTAATCTCACTTTTCCAGCAATTTTTCTAGGAGATGATAACAATGTGTACAAATAATTAGCAATAAAACATCTTGGCCAGGCGCAGTGGTTCACATCTGTAATCCCAGCACTTTGGGAGACCAAGGCAGGAGGATCACTTGAACCTAGAAGTTCAAAACCAATCTGGGCAACATGGTGAAACCCCATTTTTACAAAAAGTACAACACTTAGCCAGGTGTGGTAGCATGTGCCTGTAGTTCCAGCTACTCAGGAGGCTGAGGTGGGAGGATCACTTGATCCCAGGAGGTCAGGGCTGCATTGAGCTGTGATCGGCCACTGCACTCCAGCCTGGGCAACGGAGTGAAGCCCCGTGTCAAGAAAAGCAATCAAGCATCTCCAGGGTAAAGGAGAGCAACATGAAGAATAAGCTGTTTATAAATACATATAAATTGAAACAAATTGATAAAAACAATATACCACATCACAATCTAGTCTCAGCAAGGAAAACAGCAGGCCAACATTACAAGGCACCAATGACATAAAACAGATCTTGAACATTTTGGTATTACTCAGATCATGAAGGACTAGATCAAGCTGCACTCAGGGCTTAAAAATCACAAGCCACATTACACGTATAGTACTTCAGACATTCTTCATTCCTGACTGAGTTGTTTTGTTTTTGAGACGGAATCTCACTCTGTTGCCCAGGCTGGAGTGCAGTGTCACGATCTTGGCTCACTGCAGCCGCCGTCTCCCGGGTTCAAGCAATTCTCCTGCCTCAGCCTCGCCAGTAGCTGGGATTGCAGGTGCCCGCCACCACGGCCGACTAATTTTTTGTATTTTTGGTAGAGACTGGGTTTCACCATGTTGGCCAGGCTGGTCTTGATCTCCTGACCTCAAGTGATCTGCCTGCCTTGGCCTCACAAAGTGCTGTGATTACAGGCATGAGCCATCGCACCCGGCCCTGACTGAGCTTTGAATCCAGTAGGTGCATTTTTGGCCCTATTGGAGCAGACACCCTACTGCCATTTGTGGAAATTATATACAAACAATGTACAGATATAGGTTGGTTAAGAGAGATTGGAAATATGACTCAGGACTTACCATTAAGTAACAGAATATTACACAGGTAGTAGCCCTCCCTGTTACACATCTTGCTTTCAAATTTATTTTCAGTCAGCACCTAATTTTTTTTTTTTTTTTTTTGAGATGGAGTCGCCCTGTTGCTCAGGCTAGAGGGCAGTGGTGCGATCTCGGCTCACTGCACTCTCTACCTCCTGAGTCCAAGTGATTCTCCTGCCTCAGCCTCTGAGTAGCTGGGACTACAGGTGCCCACCACCAAGCCCAGCTAATTTTTGTGTTTCAGTAGAAATGGAGTCTCATCATGCTGTCCT